GTTTGGATTCAGAAGAGCGCGTTCAGCCTTTTCTGTAACAGAAAACAATACAACAAACAAATAAGAGAGGTAGAGAATAGCGCTTTGGACAAAACCTTGGCACCAGGTATAGCGGAACAATTTACAAGGTCGTTAATCTCCAAACGTTTCGTGGCAGTTACAATTATCGAAGTGTAGATAACCCAATTCCACGTAAGTAGACCACAAGCATTGGCGGTATGACGCTCACTAATTTCACTGCGTTCTGTCGGTAAGGAAGAAACTCATCTATGGCGCGCTTCAATTGATAAGATGGCGGTGGGCCTCCCCAAATGAATCTGCGTTGCGCAATATTGAGGAAATCCTAAATTCGGCGGTTTCCATTCATATCGAGGTAGAAAACACAATCCGATAGGTGATAATGAGTAAACCAGAAGTAAAAAGCCTAAAAATGAGTCAAAAGGTAAATGCGTAGTTTTTGTTAACATACAAAAAAAAACCAAAATATATCCGCACATGCGTCAATGAAGTGATGACAGCAAAATATCAAGAAACTACATTCACTAAACTTATACAGCACAAATAAATCCCAACAGGCTGACAAAAATTGTCCACTAACTGTAATGCATGTATTCTTCTGCAAGTAATGATCGATTTCTGCTACCATAATAACCTGAACAATTACATACGACATAGGTAAATAGCAATTCTCTTACATATTAGAGGCGCAAGACTTTAAAATGTTCACTAGCATGCAGAACGCCAATTTAGAATGCGACTGATTTAATAGAAAATATATTTTATATAATTTGCAATATATTTTACTAATTTGTGATGTTTCAATAATATTGTTAATAAAGCTGTTTAATAGAGTGCAGTAAATAAACTAATATTGAGAGCAACGTGAATTAAGCTTGCAAAGGACGAATTAGTCCGTAACCGTTTGTTGTACCTACAGTTTCTCAGAAGGATCTAAGTAAGAGTGTAATGCATTGCTTTAGGCACTGTGCGATATTGCTTTTACAAGATCTGCATACTTTTTACAAAAGGGTGCATTCTCGTGTCGCAAACAAAGCATTCCATAAATTAAATTATATTGAATTTGTAATTCGACAAATCTGGAATTCTATGAAATCAGGTTGCTGCGAGTTATCAGAACTGGAGAGATTATATAAAATCGTTATTACCAATGGATGCTATTTCAGCTACGTAACTTCAATTTTACTAAAATAATGACATCGTTTGTTTGATTTAATTACTAGCTGTGGACAACACTGCGTTGTAAAACACACGAGTTCCCAATAACCGTTTATTATGTAATAATTAATTAATCAATTCGTATAATACCCTGAAAGCAAAAACCCAACTGAACAGAGATGCGAGGCGTGCCACCGCAAGTCGGATACTGCCGATCACCGCGCCGTCCGAGTGCCCGTCGAGATTCCCCGCTCTCCCTAACCGCGCAGCGCTTACATTACTAAGCAACTGTTAAAACAAATGCATTTAAAAACCAGTTGTTTCTGTTGGAAGTTTGTTGGCCGTAATAACCAATAATGTTCTGATTCAACTTATTGCACGTGGAACGCCATGTGAAAACGAAATCTCCCAAAACGAGGTGAGCAATTTGGTTATTAATGTAGGCACCTTGCCGTCTTTTCAGTTAAACGATATCAAGGGGCGGTTAGGTTCTAATTTGAATGAAAGCGAATGTATTCTAGTATTAAATCTAATAAACGAATTCCCAAATTGCTTTGCTGGAAATACAACTGAACTGGGTAAAACCACTGTAACTGAAATGCAAATACGTTTAAACGATGACGTGCCGGTAACGTATCGCCCTTATCGTCTGGCGTATCCAGAGCGGGAGTCTGTAAGAGGAATTGTGCAAGATTTAATCGCTAATGGGATCGTACAAGAATCACAGTCTCCATATGCTAGTCCTATTCTCCTTGTGAAGAAGAAAACCGGTGAATACAGAATGTGCGTGGACTATAGGGCCCTCAACTTAAAAACGATAAGAGATAAATATCCCTTGCCTCTTGTTGACGATGATTTAGAACGAATGCATGGAAATGACTCGGTTGCAAAAACTGCTTTCGTAACACCCGACGGACACTACGAGTACCTTCGAATGCCTTTTGGTTTAGTAAACGCTCCGGCCGTGTTTCAACGCGCCATTAACTCGATTCTCGGTAAACTTAGGTTTACAACTGCAATGGCTTATTTAGACGACATTCTGTTGCCTTCTTCATCCTTTGAGACAGGATTAGAATCACTACGAGAGGTTTTTACGTTGTTTCGGGATGCAGGGATGACGTTTCGTTTGTCTAAATGTCAGTTCTTCCACGAAAAACTTGAATACCTTGGGCACGAGATTAGTCCGCATGGCATACGACCGGGTATTGCGAAGATCGAGGCAGTGGAAAAGTATCCAAAACCAACTAACGTCCATGAGATACGTCAATTCCTAGGGTTAACTTCATATTTTCGTAAGTTTATTAAGGGATTTGCCACGATAGCCAAGCCGCTTACCACCCTTACGAAAGCCAATACGCCATTCACGTGGGGCCAAAATCAAGAAGAAGCGTACGAAGCCTTAAAACGGAAGTTGCTAGAACGTCCGGTACTAGCTCTATACAACAAGGATGCTCCCAGTGAATTGCACGCAGATGCCTCAAAATTTGGAGTCGGTGGTATACTGTTGCAGTGGCAGTCAGACCAAACGTTAAAGCCTGTATGTTACTACAGCAGACAAACGAGTAAAGCTGAACAGGGCTACCACTCATTTGAGTTGGAAACCCTCGCAGTAGTAGAATCGATGAGACGATTCCGAATCTATCTACTAGGAAAACGTTTCACAGTAAAAACAGACTGTAACGCTATACGTGCGACCATGACTAAACGAGACCTTATACCTAGAATTGGGCGTTGGTGGTTACTCAAGAATACGATTTTGATGTTGAGTACAGGCCGGGCATAAAGATGGCTCATGTAGATGCGCTGAGCAGGAACAGCATACCAGGGGAAGGGATCGATTCCGATAACGATGCGCACTTACTGCATCTAAACGTAAACGAAGACGACTGGGTTCTTGCTGCCCAATTAAGTGATGACTTTTGTAAACGATTGCACTCCACATTGACGAAAGAACCGATCGATGACGAAGAGAAACGTGTACATGACGAGTACGTATTGGAAAATAATCGCATTTATAAGAAAACAGCAAATGGTAGACGATGGGTAGTTCCGAAAACAGCGCGAAGTCAAATCGTGTTTTACCATCACGACAACGTCGGACACTTCGGCGCTGAGAAGACGTGTGCAATATTGAGGCGAAAATACTGGTTCCCGGATATGAAAAAATACGTAAAACGATACGTGACCTGTTGCTTGTCATGTATGTATAATAAGGAACCCACTGGAAAACGACCAGTATTTTTGTATCCAATCCCAAAGTTCGATGTTCCGATGCATACGCTACACATAGACCACCTCGGGCCATTTGTCACCAGTCGAAAGAAAAATCAGTACCTACCGCCTTACCCGATTTAGGTGCGTTTATCCTTCAATATAACGTTCATTTGTTGCTCATTGCACCCCCTAATCATCTATGTCGGTCTGTCTGGCTGCACACTCAATTCCGGCTAAACAACTGAACCGATCGGAACAAAATTTGGTACACATTATACATAAAAGGAGAGCTGAAAAGCTATTGGGCCAAATCAATATCGGATTTATGGCTCAGTGGTAAGAGCATTGGGTTATAAATCCGAAGGTCGGGTGTTCGAACCTGGGTTGAGGTGAATTTTTCATCTGTGGCGGAGATGGAAATTACCTTAGGCCAGTTCCGAGCATTCTACCGGCTACTCCGAATTAGGTTTTCCTGCAGTTTTCCTAATTCGTAAGGTAAATACCGGAGTAGTATAAACCATCTTAAGACCTTCTGCAGAGGCACCTCTAAATAGCATTATGCGGGTCACTCTGTAATTGGGCGCATGCCTGTTGAGGGCCCAAAACAAGAGAGAGATAATAAAATAAAAAAAAATAAAAATAAAATCAAGCATGCGCATGTAACCAAGTAACAAGGTAACAATTCCATGACACACTGTACTCATCCACTGCATCTGCACCGGCCACAAGAGTATTTGTGCTAGCCACAGCAAATTTTTCCTTCCCAAGGAACCATTTCCTCAATTTTTGCTGGTTCCTTCCCCAACATTCTGTGCAAGTTAATTTTTGTCCAAGTCCAAAGCTCACCAAAGTTACGTATTAGACGTCCATGACATTTTTTGAGAGTCAGTTTCTTACGCTTGAGCTCCATGCTGTGATTTATTCGAAGTTATTTATAGCTTCTCTAAATCCCTACCCAGTAGAGATATCGAAACAACTCAGCTTACAGCCTGTTCACACGAAGACATCGCAGTTCATAAGGCAAACATGAGACCCGGCTTATATGCAAATGTCTCGTGTAAACGTGTTATAAGTGTGAAAGGGACCTAAGCCAGATCTGATTTTTGCAGGATAAGGTGTAGTTACAATATAATTTATAAGTATGAGTTACACGTACTTTCCGTTTTAAGATCCAACCAGTGAGGCAGTAACCGAAACTGTAAGAAGCCTATTGAAAATGGGTCAAATCCAATGACTTCTCTTCCAATTTGTTCACCATTTTTTTTTGTGCAATGTTCAACTTCACATTTTTCGAAGACACCATTATTAAAATATTTTGTTTTTTACTTATCACTTGAATCTAGGGATCAAGTACTACTTGAACGAGCAATGGAATACTTGAAGAAGCGTTTATCTCAGTCAAGTTCCGTCAAGTTTGCTTGATCGAGTAAAATCAATGTAAACCCGTCTTAAGGGCCAGAATATCATTTACTGAGGTTATAATAATGAATGAAATAATGAATTCTTAATTTACTAATATATATTTACGTAACACTTATTTTCTGTGCAAACTTTATAATCATCTTGAGTAGAGACATGTCGCAACTTCTAAGTTTCCCGACCATATGTAGGAAAAACTTTCTAATGAAGGTTATATGTTACTGTCCAGCAACGAATTTTGTACATTCGCCATACAGAAGGTATGTACTTGCGACATTTTTATAGAAATTTATTTTTAGATGTATATACTTTAAAGAACGTGGTGCTAACGTTACAACCAGCTATAGTGGAACGAGATAACAACTGCACCCTAATTTGCACGTATGATTTAGAAGACGTCCCTTTGTACACAGTAAGCTGGTATAGGGGCATCAAAGAATTTTATCGATATACACCTAATGAAACGCCATCTATAAAAGTATTTGAAACTCCAGGAATAAACGTAGCAGTAAGTATTACTTTGATAAATTAAATTTAAGTGATGCGATGTGTCCAAAACTGTATCGGTACAAAATTTTCCATGCTTCACCGTTTAAATGTTGAATGGCATCTAGTTGTTTCCGGCATATTGTTTGAAAGACACTTTACAAAATATAGTAGCTGGATATCGCTATTTTATCTTGAAGTGACATTTTGAAGTCACGGTATATCTAACGAAATTTTACATTTAAATATAATCTCGCTAAAATATTATTTATAGAGTAAATGAAATTACGTACAGACTTTCCCTTTTAATTTTACTTGGTTTATCACTGATGTATTTGCTTAACCTTTTTGATATTCTGTGGGACAAATTTCGGTTTCTTCCTACCTTCGAATTTATTCCAAGACCACACAAAGTACTGGAAGTGATGCAAACCAAAGGTTAACGTAAATAGGTAGGAGGATGTCAGTTTCGAGCAAGAAGGTTATTGAAATGGTACAAAAATATACAGCAATTGCATAGCTTACGCAAAATAATTTTGTTAACAAAAGGGGTTTCTCGGTTTGCTTTTTCCCAAAATATACCCAACAAAAAATACATGCATCGCAATCTTGTATGAACTTAGTAAATACGATGGCAGGTTTTCTCGAAGTTTTCAAATGGAACAATATCATTATTATATGATAACAAGTACCTAATATGAAAAAGTGAAAATATCAATGAAAACCGCATTTTGATAACTGTGCCCTAAGCAGAGCGAAAATACGCACATTCACAAATTTACATTGTAATATTCATTCAAGTTGGCTTTGAAACAAAATAAATAGAATGCCACTCAAAAACTGCTCGGTAGAGACTTCGTCCTTGTATCAAAAATGGTTGCAGACAGTTAGTCATAACTATTGTCTCTTTTATTATTTAATTTATTTTACTGTGATGTATAGTTTGTATAATTTATTTTTTCTCATAATTTAAAAAGTTATATTAAGTGTTAAATTTAATTATCAATTATTATTTTAATTGTCGCTCGTTATGTCGTGTTCTTTTGTTTCAAAGTCAACTTGGATGAATATAAATACTGCAATTTAAAATTTTGGATATGCTGATATTTTCAGTTTTTTATTTGATAATTATATCGTTCCATTTGCAATTTTAAAGAAAACCTATTAGAAAAATAAATTAGAAAACATATTAATGTCAAATCCTGCCCTCTACCACTCATTACCTTTACTAAAAAGACTCTATTCGTGTAAAATCTGAAGAAAGGGTCTTACCAATAAAACCAATTATGTGAAAATCGCTTAAGCCAAACCGAAGATACATTAAATTCCTTAAAGAGCTGTTCCTCTCTCCGCTGCTCATATTTCATGAGCTAAGGTAATGTGTGCTGCATCAAAATGATGCAAAATTCATACCAGAGTGTGATGCATGTATTTTTATGCATGTTTGTTAGGTATAATTTACCAAAAAAATCATTCTTCCAGTTAACTATGAATCGTACGCCCCCTAACGGCAAATCTAAAAGATTGAAAATAATTTCCAGCGATTTATCTTGGTCCCTTTTCCTCCAAGCTGTGCAATTTAAGGGTGAACTTTATTAATAGGACACCCTTTACATTCTGCAATAAATTGTGGTTTTTTATTAAAAATTGTTCCTTAGATTGACGCTAGAAGATTCTTATTTGGCGAACAATTTTATTTGCAGATGGTTATGCTTTCAATTTCAGAGAATTTTTTGGGTTCCTAAATCAACAATTTAGTGGGGTGAAATCATACCAAAAAAAAGGTTATACACAAATAAGGTAGATTGGAGATTGAAAATATCTCGGAAAATCCCCCTTAAAATGCTATATTTTTGTGTCTTTAAACTGAAACCTGTAATTTCCTACGGTAATAAAACAAAAAAAAAGGGCGAAGCACGGTTATGCGCAAATTAGTCGAATAAATAGGGCAAAATCCCACAATCGTGAAAAGGTAAGGCAAAGAAAATAATTAAAGCGTTAAGTGGGTGAAGGGTTTATGAAACATTTTTTATTTATAAAATTTACACACAAATGTGTTATGTAACGATTTCTTTACCCTTGTCATGCTGAAAGCCTACAGAAAAAAATGAATTTTAACGGTTAGTGGCCATTTCAACTACTAAATTCAACTCTAAAAAATATTGAAAGCGCATATGATCGAGAAAAACGATAAGTAAATTTACAGTAAAAAAAAGTGCTTACTGAGAATAAAGTTTCCATCTTACGGCGTAATGTATTTGATAAGTTCACGGGTAAAAATTCAATGGAATTACTAAGTAGCTTTTAATGTAAAATAAATATTGTGTTTATTATCGAGAAAATTTACGTGAAAAACTGACGCGAACCGTAATTGCTTCCGCAATTTTAAATCCCTAAATCTGTGCGTCACTATAGCAGAGGTGATTTATAAGTGCGCATAATTTAACATGTGATAAAGTGATCGCTTTGGTGGTTCCTCAAAGGACATTATTCCGAAACAGAAGTTGGCGAAGTATGAGATCCATTTTTACGTTGTGGTTGACCTAATTGTGTTAGTAGAAGAAATTTTAGGGTTTCTTAGAGAGACTTTTGCATTAGCTTAATTGAAATATGACGAATGTTACCGAATTCCTGCAGTCCCACATGATCAATTTAAGCTTTCGCTCTTCTCTTGTCGCGCTTGTTCTAAATTATTAATCACTACTTAAGGATGTGCTTATTTGAATACAAAGGACTAGTGACGTCCTTCGCGATAAAGTCAACCCCCGTTCCACCACTAAAATGTAATCGTGCCATGGCCACAAAGAGACTCCTGTCAATGTAAATAATGTATATTATACTCATTGGCTAATTTTTTCCTAGCGGTCATGTCATTAATTTCGGAAACGGATGTTCGAAATGGCATCTCTTTTAGCGCATTTACATAAAAATAAAAAAAATGCGCTATTGTTGCCATGTTGTCCGTCCGTATATCTGTCTAGACTAGATCTTTATCTTAAAAGCTATTGTTCTACTTTTTTCACTATTATAGTCAGCTTGAGGTAACAATTCAGTTCTTTTGAACCAGTGTGCCTGTACCTTGTACTTCAGTGCACTTAACTACCCTTCTTAAACTTTGCGTAATTTAATAATTTATATATATCTATTTTGCATATGATGCACTGTTATTTATACGCATGTGTGATTCCAAGCACTGTAGTTGCCTAAAGCCTCTTGATTTATAGCCGCCCCATTAAAAGTAGGTAGTCAATGTCAATTGTTGGCCATATCTTCAAAACGGTTGAGAATAAAAATATAAGTTTATTAGGGTGTTTCTTTGCCATCTCTATTTTAATTTCCCAAAATATTGGCCATTCCTCCTGGGATGCCCTGTACATCTAAAATATACAAAAAGTTCGGTTCAATCAAACTAATGTATTGTACTTGCGGACTTTTCTAAGTCTCGCCTCAAATCTCGAAAAGTTTCACAATCGTCATAAAGCTACACGAAGGTAATGATTCATCTGTTGTCACTGAGCATTTCGACTGTACTTTGTGGCTCTGGCGTTGCCTTATTTGTGATTGAGAATCGCAGCCGAATCTGATTGGGTAGTTTCTAACCGACCCCACCTTAGACCCTGTCAAAAACAACCCCCAGCCTTAAATTGGCATGGTATAAGTAAAAGAATATTTTATAATGTGAGGGGTTGGTGAACCACTGTTATTGTTGTTTGTATATTGTTTGTATATAAAAATTCAGAATCTGTTAACATTGTTTCTAATGAGGAATGTTACACAAACCATTGTAACTACTAGACACATTAACGTGACAGATTACTTGTAAGTCCTTATTTCCGTTTGATGCCAACGTAAATTACAATATAAACTAGTTCTGTTGAAACTAAAAGATTAGTATCCGGCAGAAGATCAAAGGCACTTAGTTGTACATAAAATCGCGTTTAGAAAAAACAAATCCACAATAAAGTACCGTGCAGTAGTAGTAACCGAAGACTTTGCCCGGATATATTTATAGCAACAGGGAATGTATAAATGAGAATTTATGTCTAGCGTAAGTCTCACGTCTGGAATTTGTGTAATATGTGAAAAAAATCAAAACAAATGACTACAGCTGTATTATTTATCTTTCAAACAACATTGCTAATTCCGTAAAACACTTTAAGATGCCGATTTTCAAAATTAACTTTCGTAATTACTTTTAGTGACAGTTAACAACTGCTGCGACTGCAGCTGTTTCTAAATCTTGGATAGTTAGTGTTATTTGGTGTGTACAAAGTAAACTAGCAAGAACTTACGAGAGTCTTGTTGTCTGAAATCAACTTTTTAATGATTGTTTATGAATCTAGAAAGACCAATCGAATAGCACTCAAGTAGTGCTTCGCAAAGTCGAATTTAATTTGTCTGGAAACTTTACGTGCGAAGTAACTACGGAGAAGGCATTTTCTACGAGGCAAGACGTCCAAGTGATGCAAGTTGTTCGTAAGTACCCACTACCCCTTTTGTGCTGATAATTGTTTAATATTTAAATGCACCAGAACTACCAGATGACGCACCCACGATCAGTGTTGGCAGAGAACCCTTAGATTACGGCGATGAACTAATAGCTAATTGCATGTCTCGACCGTCTAGACCACCAGCCATGTTAAAATTTATATTAAATAATAGAACGGTAATAATATTGAATATTTAACAATATAAAGGCATCTAAAATATGCATTGTTCATAGTGCAACGAAATGTTTTTCTTCCAGGAAATTTAGCCTATTTAAACGTTAATGAGACGTAGAACACACTCTTTTTTATCGTCTTAATATCAGACATACCATTACTTGTAAATGAACATTTATAAGTGGCTTGACGCCTGAAAATGATGAAGCGGTCATACTTTTACCTTTTTGGCCCAGTTAGACCATATATCAGGACACATTTGACAAATGATCGTAAGAATTGCTAAATATTTCCCTTCTTGGTTTTCCTTAGTCTTACTTTTATCTTCAACTCCTGCCTCCCGTGATCTGGAGCATAAATGTCTTTCATTTTTTAAATTATCCTTAAATTTGACATTTATAATGTTTCATTGAAAATAAATCTGCTGACAGCTTCCTTTTCGAGCGATCTAGATCTATTTGGGGACAGAAACACACCCTCAAATGCTTCGTTTGGGACGTCGCCGACAAAAATCCAAAAAGTTTGTTGTATCTCTCTGTATCGAACAGTTTTTGCCGTCCGTCCAAACATTTCAATGACAATTTTTTTTTATTTTCGTAAACTAAGAAACTCAATGAATCAAATTTCGTCCAGGTCAGGTTTTGGGTAGGAGTTTTGGGAAAGGTCATACTCCCAGACCAACATATGAAACTGGGTTATGAAATTTGAAAGAAACAACATATTTATTACAAAACAAAAGATAATTTTTTGCCCGTAAAATTGAGCCTCTTCCCAGCTATTTACGATTTTCGAAATAAACCTCTTTCTCGGTTGGATGAAAAATCTATTTTTTTCATCGTACAGAGCTGCGAGGGATAGCAAAAGCTTCGTGAAGACTTGTATTTAAATACTCAAACATAAAAAAATCTCATTCCGATAGAAACATTTCGAGAAAATCGACAAAAACGGAAAAACGGTTTTTCGATATACGCGTGATAAATGAAACAATCAACGTTTTGAATCCGCTCTAATTTCAGAAATCTGTTTTCACTCTTCTATTTAATGTTGCTTAAATAATTTCTTTTGTTTGTCAACTACGTACCTACTTTAATTAAATTATTCTTTTGCTCTATTTTCCTGCCTATTTTACTACTGATGTACTTCTGCTGGGCCTGTTGAGCGTTGATTTGCAGGAATTATGAATGAAAGCCTGGTGAAGTTTATTTCTAATCGTTAAATGAAATGACTTCCGAGCCTGCTTCCGAGTCTCTCACACCCAGAATGTTAGTGAAATTATAACTGGTAAACACGGTCTACGTAGAAGCAATCAGCCATGCTGAGCGACATACCACCACCCACCGAACAGCGTTCAGAGTCTCCATTTGTCAATCTAGTGGCGATGAACCTCCACCATTCTGGAAGGATGACCAGACCGCATGGTTTCACCAGCGATATCACCAAACATTACACCATCGTCGACGCCTTCGGTACCGACATCCTCTAGCAAATAGCAGACATCGTAAACACACCACCAGAAATAGACAAGCATGGGACGCTTAATCCTTCTTGGCTGTGTAACTCCAGGAGATGATTCTGGTTACGCTCCTGCTACACCCGTTTATGGAACTGAATTACGCCTGCCTGGAATAAATGTTAATGAGCACTTTCCTGATAGCTACTTGTCTCCAAAGAAATGAAAAAAAGTTAATGAAAAAAAAATGATTAATTATTATGATTCCTGCCCAAAAACGTGTATATTAAAAACCGTTAGTTCCCAGTTTGTGGCGATTTTCTCGAAATTTTTCTGCCGGATTGATATTTTTTATTTTTGATTATTTTGCTACCCCGCGCGTACTATGAAAAAAATAGGTTTTTCATCCCCTAGTGAAAAAGGGTTGTTTTTTTTCGAAAATCATGAATATTTCGGAAATTTTACGGACCCAAGATTGTCTTATTTTTATGCTTTCCCTATTTCTTTTGTTCGCAAAAATATGAACAGACAGTTTTCCCAATTTTTCTCGGAAAATTTGAGATTCTCTGAAAAAAGTGTAGACACAAAAGTCTTTTTATTCCCTACAACACTCTCGCTTAAATACTTTTGCTACAAATTGCAAAACACCACTTTCCACCCTTTCAACCCGGGGAAAAATTCAGCTCGTTTAATTAATTTTGCACGATTTCGAATCACATCACCTACATAAAAGAAACCGTTTTGATCGGGAACTAATTTTATGTCAACAAATAAGCCTACTAGTGGTTTAAACGAGCCTTTCGATTTTAAACGCTTTAAAATAGTTTATAAAATGCATTATAAAATATAAAGTTTAGGGGTAGCTTTTCTTATACATGCATATGTTGCATTTATATGCTGCTATACTTAAAAGAGATGCTATGCTACTGAATTGTTATTTTTGATGCCTTTAGTAACGCCATACCTACCGAAAGTATCGATATAACTAACCATGCACTTGTAGGTAGCTCGTACTGATCCCTTTCAAAAGCGAATACCACCAGAACCGTCATGGAGCGATTTACTGTTAAACCTAACATTAACCGAAGATCATTTCAGAACTGGGCGGTTAATTTTACGCTGCGAAGCACGAATAGAAAATATATATCATAAATATGCGGAATTGAAGCTGAACACCGCCAGAGATCCAATTCCGGAGCGAGGTAAGCTTTCAGTATGTCATATGCAAAGTGATACAACGTACCTATTTCAGTAAGCGCTTACGATTCGAGCCATTCCATTGAGAGAATAACAATCGTGAAGCTTATAATTATTAATTTAATATCATCCATGTTTAAATAATTTATGGCATTTGTACATTAGTGTTCAGGGTTTTAGAATATCAAATTGCAGTCTATTTTTTAACGTAAACGATGTTCTATGACCTCTTACTTGTTATACATTTTGTATGGACCTAGTCAACGCCACCGATTTCTGTATATGTATCACGTTTCGTTTGGTGTAATTTGTTTATGATTTATATTCGACACAGTTTTATTGATTGCTAATAGTGATCGGTAATACATGTTGCAAGGTGTAAACTGTGATAATATTAATAAAAACATTAACTGAGTATTATTCTTAGCTTGCCCTAAATAAATTGAGACTCACACTCTCACATGATGGACAGATAGATGCCGTGGTAAGTACTTTAGTAATACAGGGTGAAATTTCAGCTAGGCTGTAATCAAAAACAATTTACCGTGCTGAATAATAGAACCTCATGCAATATTTGCAAAGGAGAAGCTTTATATGTTTACGGTATATACATGAAAGTGCTTTAAGTATTAATATAATAATTAAAACCTCCCTACTAGGTTTATAGTAGACGTAAATCACGTGGGGAATGTACGTTTTAGTAAGACGAACAAACTTTAGAAGCTGGATCATTCAAGTTAAAGTATTTTAGAAAGGTGGGCACGTTATGTTAGTTTATTGAATACATTCAGCTATCAGTTGTATACCATTAATGATAATTCCCTTAGGAAAACACCAACAAAATTAAGTAATAGCACCATTAGCTTGTTCAAATCCTCTTTATAAGTTTACGAAATAGTTAATGGTTTTGTGAAGAATTTAATTAGAAAGTTAAAACCTGAGAAGTCTAAATGGGACTTACATTTTTAACAAAGAAGTAGATTATTTTCTTTTACGCAATCTTTAATGCCCCTAATAAAACTTTCATTGGTAGTTTTTCCTAAATTCAATCCAATCGAGGTGACAATTTCTAACCGTGCTTGCATGGAAACTATTCTTGAATCACACAATCACCATTAATATACAGGGTGTTTTTTTGGGAGCTTTAGTTAAAAGTTTCTGGGAAAGTAAAATAGGTAGGTTTTTGGAAATTAGTACTTAGGAGTTACTCTGAAGGCTGAATCGATGTAAAATATTTTCAAAATGGCCGCACTTCCGGAAACACCTATTTTTTATTGCAGATTTCGATTCTATGTGAAATTTCAGTTCTTTTGATACCCATATGTCGATATCTGCCATTTATGGTTTTTAAGTTATTTTGACTTTAAGAAAAAAAATGGCGGATGCAGATGGTACCTTGATAATTGATTACTTGAAACCGGTTGTAGTCATGGCAACCTATTTTTATCAGTGCATAGAGAATGAATAGGGCTTTCTTTTAGTGCACTTAAAAAAAAGTTAAGTTGCGTACGACCGCCCCTATGAATATCCAAATTTATGAAACTTCAAAGACTAAAAACTCAGTTTTTTTTTAATGGAATGACCATGTTCTTACTATTCCATGAGATAGAGAATCGAAATTGGCATATTTTGACTATACATGTTTCTATAGCTATCTTTAACAGTTTCTGACTTATTCCCATTTTATTGAATTGACACTATTTTTTTCGGATTTTCTTTTTAGTAGTCGGCCATGATTCTATAACAATTGAATATTAAACAAATCTAGTGACACTAATCCATCACCCACTGTTATAGGTTAACATAAGTTTTTCAAAAATCGAAAAATGACTCGCAGTGGTTTCACCTATTTTGGAATTTAATTGTTATTTATGGTGAAATGGGCAGAATCGCGGCGCGTGCTTTCCGTACATTCACTCAAAAACTGGAACGAAATTGTATGAATTTTGGAAATTTTGTCCCCCTAATGCACTACAAACCGTTGAAGCACAAGTGATACAAAGCTCTACAAGAGAATATTTAAGAAAATGAATTGAATTGCAAATGCAAGATTAACATATTAAATTCAATGCAAAATATAAAAAACTTCGTTGAAACATTTTTGGTATGGAATTGTTGCTAGAACAGATATCACATTACCTCTCTTAATTTCCAGAATTGTTTAAGAAATTCAGTTGAACGACTCTGTTTAGATTTTTCAAAAATTTTCCGTCCTATATCCTTAATAAATGAGTTATTTATTAATGAATTATTTAGACTAGAACTAGAATCAATGGTATTAAAGAATCCATTCCTTGATTTGTTTAAAATTCAATTGTTATAAAATCATGGCCAACTACTAAAAAGAAAATGCGAAAAAAATGGCATCAATTCCGAGATCAATTCAATGGAATGGGAATAAATCAGAAACTGTTAAAGATAGCTATAGGAACATGTATAGTCAAAATATGCCAATTTCGATTCTCTATCTCATGTAATATTAAGAACATGGTCATTCCATTTAAAAAAACTGAGTTTATAGACTTTGAAGTTTCTTAAATTTGGATCTCCATAGGTGCGGTTGTATGCAACTTAACTTTGTTTTAAGTGCACTAAAAGAAAGCCCTATTCATTCTCTATTCACTGATAAAAATAGGTTGCCATGACTAGAACCGTTTTCAAGTAATCAATTATCAAGGTACCATCTGCATCCGCCATTTTTTTTCTTAAAGTCAAAATAACTTAAAAACCATAAATGGCAGATATCGACATATGGTATCAAAAGAACTGAAATTTCACGTAGAATCCAAAAATGCAATAAAAAATAGGGGTTGCCATTTAAAATAACGAAGTTACTATCTACTTCCGGTGTTTCCGGAAGTGCGGCCATTTTGAACCTATTTTACATCGATTCGGCCTTCAGAGTAACTCCTAAGTACAAATTTTCAAAAACCTACCTATTTTACTTTCCCAGAAACTTTTAACTAAAGCTCCCAAAAAAACACCCTGTATAGAAATGCCTTGATACTGTCGTCATCCACAATCCAATGTCGAATACATTTTGATATTTAGAATGATCCAAGTGTTATACCTATGCTCGACAATCTCCAGTATACGCCCTACTTTGCACGTATACGCACCCTTTCTTGAATTATGCGTAACTAACCATAATTAGCAACTAAAGTCATAAAACTACCAACACTAAATTAAAGGTAAGTAACATTGTGTTCAAAAAGGATACCACAAAGTTGCAGTATATCAGTGTGGACTAACAAAAGTCAAATACTAGTGAATCCTAGTAATGCAATCAACCCTATTAAGTGTTTTAATGAATTGTCTACCTTAAAAAAAATAATAAGGGAGGCGACAAAATATGTACATGGGCCCACCTCTGCACATATTACCTGGTTGCAGAGTAAAGTAGTAAAGTATTATTTACATCGGAAACAATGTTTGTTTTGGCAATTGCAGATTTATTTTTAGCGCATTTCCACAAAAATAAAAAAAAAATGCGCTATTGTGGCCACTTTGTCCGTCCGTCCGTCCGTCCGTCCGTCCGTCCGTCCGCTCGCTTTGCGACGCTACTAGTTCTTTATCTTGTTAAGAGCTATTGTTCTACTTTTTTCGCTATTTGATTCGTTATGGTGTCGAGTCTTGTACCAAGGAAGGAATTTTTTCTGTACCGCTTACAAAAAAAGTTGTAAAAAAAACACAAAACCGTTTTTCACATGTTCCATAATTTTACACTTTTGCCGTTTATTAACGATCCTAGAGATCGTTTATAATTTTGCATTGCTATCTGTCGTCTGCCTGTTGGTCTGTCCGTCTGTTCCTTTGTCTGTCTGTCCCTCTATCTGTCCGTGTGAACGATAACTTTGTTTAGAAATGTTCGATCGCTTTTACATCTCCGTTAGTTATGAACTGAATTGCATTAAATTCAATATGGGGATAGCTTTAGCCATATAATACGCAATGCCAAAAGTTGAATCGAATCGATTCAAAATTCACAGTGCCCTTTTCGCATCTCGACCATTTATAAACCGAATTGCAAACTTTTTACTTATAAAAGTATTTGAATGAAATTTGATACATAGGCACTTGGAATAAAGGAAAATCAAACGCCAATTTCAAAATTTGGTTTTGCGCATGCGCAGTGCCAACTTTTTATTTATGGAAGAATTTAAACGAAATTTGATACATAGGCACTTGGGATAAAGGAAAATCAAACGCCAATTTCAAAATTTGGTTTTGCGCATGCGCAGTGCCAACTTTTTTATTTATGGGAGAATTTAAACGAAATTTGATACATAGGCACTTGGGATAAAGGAAAATCAAACGCCAGTTTCAAAATTTTATTTTGCGCATGCGCAGTGCCAACTTTTTTATCTATGGAAGCATTTAAGTGAAATTTGATACTTGGGCGCTTGGAACAAAGGAAAATCTAACATTAGTTTCAAAATTTAGGTTTGCGCATGCGCAGTTCCAACTTTCTTATTTAGAAAAGCATTGAAATGAAATTCTTCTTATAAACTGAAATTGAAATTTTAACAAAAGTTGCATCTTACAAATAGGAAATGAATGCAAGTGGAAATGCGCTTTATGTAAATCGTTTACGATTACTTTTTAACTTGTTCCTTTTCCTTTTGCGCTATGTCTACTTCAGGAAATTGTTCAAATATACTTTTATCGATGTAACGAGTAGTATTCAGCAAATATTTAAAAGTAAATAACACCTCAATATTGCCAACCGCATTAAACTGAATTTAAAGTTTTCTGTAACGAATTAGAAAAAAGCGTGCCTTATGATCATGCTTAGCTAGGATGTGGTTGGTGGGAATATTTGTTAATATTGTTATGTAAAATACGTTAGGCGGACGTTTTATTTGACTTCGGCACTGCAAAATGATAAGGACACCCTGTATGTGCATTTCAATTATGTATTATTAACGTTAAATGGCGTTGTTTATTGGAGATTAAACGCAAAGTCAATCATATTATTTGATTTCGAAGTCGATTTAATATATAACCTGAAAGATGCTCCGGGTCAGAAAAACAAACACCACGCAAAAAGCGATCGGTAGAACAAATTAATTAAAAGAAGACCTTAAAGACGCACTAACACAAACGCCAAGTCAAAATGCTCGAAACTTTACTCCTCGACTATAATTATAACACTTGCATCTGGATTTAGACAACACTGGATTTTCTGTAATTAAAGATGTAAAATTTGGCTCTTTCATTATGGAAAAACTACCTTTAACAGATACTGAGAAAAAAACTACTTCTTTACTCCTTAATTCGACTTTTCATGTTTATCACAACTTAAATCTCTTAATACTCGTAGCACTCAACTAACTTTCTTCTATAACAAGAACTTTACGATTATAAAGACTGACTGTCTTTCCAATAATAGCTCAAATAACGGCAAATCTGCTATTCACCAAAACATTAAACGACTACGTTTCAGCGTCCACCAAAAAAAAACGATTAACGCCCACCACCAGAAGAGCTTGACCAAAGCAAACCATAAACCTCCATTTCTTATATTTTAAACAAATTCACTTTCCGTTCCACTTCCAACTGTGTCTTTGAATAAATTAAACTCTTGTGTTCACTACGGCGAGAAAGCATCAGCGGTAACACGTGATTAACTTGAAAGTAATTAGACTACGCTCTCTTATCGCCTTGGGCAAAGATAAAACTTTTACAAAAAAAGAAACTTAACACGTAATTACTTTACATTTAAATAAACAAACTACAAGCGATTATTTAAACAAAAATTACACATCATTAAATAAATAATTCCAAACAAAACCAACAATGATCTGAAATTCGAGAAGCATGATCGAAATTGTGTTCATTATTAATTGGAGACCAAAATTTAACGCTTAAAAATAAATGAAATTCAATAGATACAGGGTGGTCCATCGCTATTTTGCTGATAAAATGTCCGCATGACGTAGTTTACACAACAGTAGACTCCATTAATTTATTCCAGATTATTATTTTACCTACAAGGTCTATTGACCACACGGCTTAATCGAAGTGGTGGGATGCTAATGAAAATTTGAAGGTGGAGATAGTAGGGAGCCAGGCGGTTGAAAGTAAAAATATTCTTTCGTGTTCAGATTGCTTCTCCTTTCATTCGTTATTCGTTATATTGTAACAAAGCACTCGTTTGGCGCCTTGAAGTTACCAGTTTTAGCGATCAGAAGAAGCGTTTTAAGTTGGGCGCTTTGTTACGAAAAGTGTTGTGCCGACAGTATTTAGGAGTCGAGGATAGATCAAGGTAATTGAATAATTTCTAGGGTTGTGTTTCAGCCGCCGTTACCGTAAACAAAAGCTGTAATAATTCACCGTTTGCAACCGTTGCCGTCAAGATATTTCAATTATTTTTGTTACGTCCGAAAGCTCTTGTCATTTAGAAGACGACGGGGAAATTCATATTTTAGAATTTCAATGCAGTAATTATTAGATGATTTTGGTTTCCTATGTTAATTAAAGTTTTAAAACTGCAAGACCGTGTAGGTTTACGGTAGGTAGTATCAGTCGACACAATGGGTGTTAATTAGAATTGCTGTGGAAGTACTTGTATTTCTTACTAACAGTTTTAAGATATCACTTCACCGCATAAGGACTTAATTTAGTAAAATTGTATAGCAGTTCATTAGCACAAACCATTTATTAAAAAACCCGAAAGTACTAACTGCCAACCAACATAAAATGTAGGTAACAAACTTCAACTACTAACAACGCAGAAAATAATTTTAATTCCTCAGCAGTTAACTTCTTTCCATCCCCGTATACTAAGAGACTGTGGGAAACGTTTAAAGTAAAGTAGTGCACTAGTGGAAATCTACATCGAATCGCCACGATTGGATGTTTCTCATTATCAGTCTGTAACTTGTCGTAGCACAGTGAGGTATGAAAATGCAGTTTTCAATATCTAAAACTGAGAATTATTTCACAAACGCATAAAATACAACGCTACCCATAGAAACATTGGCAGGGACATTGGAGCCAATTTTCCTACACGAACACTAGTACTACGTCCCGTGCGCATGAGTAGCATTAAAATATACTTCTGGTAGTTCACATCACACATATACCATGGTGACTCAAATATGTTTTGGCGAAGTTCTTCGCTCTGCAAATGTTATCCGAAGTTAAATATTATGTCCTTCCTGTTGTCATTTAGCTTCTTTATTTCTGAGTTAATTACCTTATTTATCAGTGTTTGTCCGACCAAGGCAAATACGAGCATTTCGGTAAACGCGCACGTTTCATATTGGACTAAGATTAGCGATAATCCTAATTCGGTGCTCTAAAAGATCCTCATTGCCACATTACAGTTTCGAAAGTTGTTAAAACACTCACCCGAAGCAAACAATAAGGTACGAAAACATGATAAAACATGGATAGGCAGACTTTCATAAATAGGAGTGGTATGAAATAGCTATCCATGACCTTACAAAATTGCAGGAATTCTTGATGGTGTTTAATGTATTTACCCAGAAGGTCTAATATTCTTGCTTTAAAATCCTCGGAATGTATTATTGTCATAATACGATCAATGTTGACACGCTCTTCGGTTTCTTCTGACCATCTGTAACAAAAAAATTCAATTTGTATTATATTAAATGATCAATATGACAATTGTCGATGTCATTTTAAGTGTTTAGGTCTCACAGATCAGGGATGAAGTAAAACTGACATATTTGAGAGCTTTTCGAGAGTTAAATACTAGTGCAAGTGTTGAAGCAAATTTGCATTATTTTCATTAGTGCCCTATTTTATTAAATTCATAAAACTCCTTTGTGGTTAATCTTTTTAACAAGATGGTTATTTTGCGTAGTTTTTGCGATTTTTTTTCATAGAAATATTTATTTCGTTTTACATTATAAGAAGAGGTAGTATAATGTTTCATTTCTTACACTGCGAAATAAGCTTTCCTTGGTAAAAATTTGTTGAGTCAGTTTTTTCGGTAGACAATCTAAGAGTGCGTGAACAAATGAAAATTGACGAAGTATCGCCGCCATTGCTTTCCATCATGAAATAGGCGTTTTAATTAAGTCAGCTTAGTGTAGAAAGATGGGATGAGCTTTGCAAGAAATTAGGAAGTCGCTTTTGGTCAGTGGAGGGTAAAAGATTCGATTAGCGGCAGTAAAGATACGTTGAGCGATAGAATCTGGTTTGAGCGTTGAAGGCGAGAAGATTCTGGTTTGACTCCCCAACCAGGAAGTTTCGCGTTTGTTCAGTACAGCGTGTTTTATATAGCGGATTTTAGAGCTTAACTAATTGGATTTGACGTTCGGAATAACCGAGCTTAGAAGACAAAAGTCAAAGCGACGTTTAGTGTCCATGATATCCAATAGTTCTAGAAATTTATCATTTTGCCCCAGTGGAAAACTTGCGTGAAAAAGTGAAGTTCCCATTGTTGAGTATAATAGCAAAAGTGCATGTTAGTTTTTGCTACCCCTCGTGCTACCCTTAGCAGAATTTATGGCTTTATGGTTCAGTGGTAGAGCATTGGGCTATAAATCCGGAGGTCGGGTGTTCGAACCTGGGTTGAGGTGAATTTTTCATCTGTGGCAGAGATGGGAGTTACCTTAGACCAGTTTCGAGCATTCTGCCGGCTACTCCGAATTAGGTTTTCCTGCAGTTTTCCTAATTCGTAAGGTAAATACCGGAGTAGTATAGAACAACTTAAGACTTTCTGCAGAGGCACCTCTAAAAAGCATTATGCGGGTCACTCTGTAATTGGGCGAAAGCCTGTTGAGGGCCCAGAACAAGTGGGGGATAAAATAAAATAAAATAAATAAAAATAAAAAATTTGCATGTAGTTTACCGCACACAATAGTTTCCCACAAAAATGCCAGTATCTCAGTAAGAGTGGACAGTGTGAGTGTCTTTTTTAGAAGGAGTCCATATAATGGCACCGTAAATGATTGGGAGTACTACTGGGACCACGTTGCCTTCCAAAAGAAAGTTGCAAAATTTTGTAATGGCGTCGAGTGTCCGTCGTCTGGCCTTATCGGCAGGCTTTCGATGTAATGCCTTTAAGAGAGTTGATCTCTTTTGTATTTCTGTATACAGCAGAATGTGTCGATCTAAGGTGACCTCTGGAGCGGGAAGAAACACGAGCGTTCGGAAAGGAGCTGGATGTTCCTATGACCTGCAGCGCTTGGAATGTCGAGGAATCAGCGGCAGCGAATCCTAACTGCTCCTCTTATATCAAAGTCTGAAACTTCTACTTCCACCTTCTTTGCTAGGGAAAGCGATGTGGGATGTCGCTTTGGAGAAGTACAACTGCTAATTATGAACTGCTTGATATTTTATTTTTGCGGCGATGTTAGTTTTTTCGGAACCTCCCATATTTAAAGATTTGAATTTGAGAAGAAGTAGCTCTTCCCAAGCAGTTAGTGAGTTTTGTTGATAATTGCACTACTCAGGCACGTTTCGTGATCCTGCCGACTATCCTGAGGGGGATTTGCAATTTTTCAAAAACGCTTGTCGTATCCTGAGACGGTTTCGGTTAGTCAGTGTGGTAGGTCAATGTGTCTTTGGAGTCGGCCCGTGAGAGATGATTGATATGTGATGAGCCCTGGATTGTTACCCATTGTTTCTTTTTCTTTCGGATAAAATCACGCATGGGTTGCGAATCGATGTCGCCAGCCCCATGGAAACGTTCTGGACACTTTTTGCATTACAGCATAGCTTTGATAGGTTTCTTATCGGAGGTAGTGGATGTGGATCTCGCCCTCCTGGAAATTTGCGGGTCCGCTAAAGGAGTAGATCGTTGGCGAGTCGACCGATACGATAAATCTTTCGTGGTTGTCCTCTTCTTAGCATCAATGGGACCTTCAGCTATTGAAACTGTACAGTGTGTTTGATTAATCGAGTATCGATGTAAACGCTCTTTTATTTCAAAAAAGATATCACTCGCATTAGACATGAAAACTAAGAAATAAATGATCGAAGAACGTCTGCTCTATTGTCCAGAGAGCCTAAGGCGAGATAAACAGAGTATGGGTCAAATTCTTACCTTACATCATGCATCAACATTTCTCTGAATTGTAGCACTTTTTCCTTAGTTACACCGTGCTGTAGCAAAGCGTCGTATAGGCAATTGTAAATGTCTACACCTACATACAGCAACTTTTAGTATAGATAAATGAGTCTTATTTTAATCATACCAGACACCAAAAATTGTTGGCTAGTAATTAACACCGTGGATATGAATAATGTATCCGCAGCTGAAGTTATTTGTCCCACGATCATTTGCCCCATAAATTGAAGTGTGTATATTTCAATGTAATGAAGCGTGTTGTTTTTGGCATCCATTCCAGGGAATACTCCAGGTAATGGTAACATTCTACAAAATTAACACGATATAATGTTAGTTTTTTTAAAATTTTATTTCCTCTTCCATTCCAGTACGTTCCGTCTCCAAGATACTGGTGGAAAATTTGCGGCTGGGGCCGTACAATGCAAACATTCCACCAGTTTACACAGGAAATATTTTAGCACACAAAAAAGAATTGTAAGATTTTCTGTATGTACATAAAAACCGCGATCTTTACCTTCCCTTCATGAAAATCGGAAAAGAAGTCATGCTTAACACACCAAGCGTAAGCAATACTATAAGCCCTTGTGTGATCCTTTTCGTACGTTGATTTACCTCCCCCATGCCAATTTCAACGATATCGCTGTTTGTCCTGTATTTAAACACTCTGTTCAGATGTTCTACTAAATCTCTTCCATTTCGTCCATTTAGTATGAAAATGTGTATAGTTAAAATAGAGCAGAGGATTACACCTGAAAATTTAGGTTACTAGTTTCTACGAACGAAGTTGAGGTATATTATAATACATTACCCGCATTCATAATGGTGAGCGAATAGTTTACATTGTCGGCTAAGTAGAGTTCGTACAAAAATGGCAAAAATACCAAGTATAGTACACAGAGATAGATATATTTGCAAATATTACTGAATATTCTAATCCATGTACTACTAGTATTCGGTGGGATTAATGAACATAACACTGCGTACTGTAAGTTAAATTTGAGCAGTTCCATCTCGCCCATTATTTGAAGACGAATTGTAAAAAACTCTACACTACATTCAATCAGCGCTACTTCGCTTCTGAAACATGCATACGGTAGTTTTCGTTAATATATATTTCAAACATGAAAGCCTTGACCATACACGTCAACTACGATAAACGCAATCAATATCTTTGAAAAAATTTAATTGGTGGTTTCAGTACATACTTCTAACTTCTACAAATGAGTTTAGTTTGATAGAATTGGAAATGGAGCGGGAAAACCTCTTGTCCCTTATAAATTATTCCAAATTCTTAGCCCGTCGCTGTAAATTCGCTATTTGTGGTATGTTTCCTTTGTATTATATCTTCTAATTTTGGGTCTTTCTTATGCAAAATTGAATATTACAAATATATTTTTGATTAAATAGTACCTATCGGTAACTGGCGCTTTAGTTATTAGGTATAGACATTGAATAAGCACCTTAAAGAAGTATAACGACATAGGAAAACCTGAAATTGGTGTAAGGTGTGTTGCATACACTGCAAAGTGGTTAATTGTCACAAATATTGAAGGATATTTGGCCTGGGGCGGTAAATAATGACTATTTTAAACAGGGAAACCAGTTATACTTAGGGGCCCTTTGTTTTCCTTGTTTATCAGAGTTGAACAGTGTTGTCATATTTTTCTTTGTTATAAAGAAAAGTAGCTTTATTTTATTTTATGTTTCTGCACCGAGTATTTCGGTACCTACATAGTCCGTTTTATTGAAGCGAATGGAATTAAAATTTTTTTTTTGCACTCGCGAGGGTAAAAATCCGTTTCTATGATCACAAAACAGGGACAGAAATTGCATTTCAGTCCCTTGAGAAATAATGATAATGAAAACTCCCTGATATTTATATAGGTTATATTAACTCAAACTTAAAAAGGTACATTGTTTATATTTAAATTAAACGTTATATTTTCACATTTTGTAAAATTTACCGCTGGAATTTTATTAATCAATAGATTCGAATCAGAACTGGCTCCCGATGTTATATTGACATTTGAGGTAGTGCTACCTTGAATAATCTGATTTGCAATCTTCGTTTTGTTGGCCACAGAGTTCTCAATGTAGCTTTCCGCGACTGTGGTGGACTTCCACCCACCATGCCGTTTTATAGTGGTGATGTCAGCTCCAGCATCCGCCAATAGAGTGGTGGAGGAACGCCTCATGCAGTGCCCCGTATAGAGTTCTGGGTTTGGTAATTTTAAGTAATTGGCGATCATATTTGGCACCTTGCCAAGCGTGTTTTTCCCAACCGGCTGAGTACATTTTCCGTTCTTGTAGAAAACAAAAAATCGTCCATGGTTAGTTCCAGGTCGAAGGGACGTGTATTTGCGAATTATCTGAAGAAAATCCACTTTACCGCCTTCATTACTCGCTATAACGAACGTTCTGGATGTTTTGTTTTTTGTATGTGGCAGGGTAATTATGAAAGAAGACCCCACATCTTCAACGTTATCCAGTGTCATATTGACCAATTCGTCAGTGCGACATGCCAACTCAACGCAACCTAAAGAGGAAATGGTTAGCAATGTTTAATACGTTAAGTAAACGCAATTTTACCTTTCGCATAAGATGGGTATCATCGTCAGCTTCAAGCAAGAATTTTTCCACCTCTTCTCTATTAAATATTTTCGATTTTTTCGGAGAATATCCATCAGAATTCCTTTTTAAAAATGATATCAATTTTGGAAATTTGTTGATGTCAACATTGTCGTAAATGAGCATACAAGACCTCACCATGGAATATTGTGCCCATACCGTTGAACATTTGTACTTTTTGGCTTTTTCGCTAAAGTAAACCAACATAACATTGTCGGTGACGGTCGCGACATCTTTTTCTATGCACCAGTCTTTAAAACCTTTATATGCTGCTTCATACAACTTTTTCGACTTATCAGGTAGTAAATTCACAACAGCAGCGTTAGCGGCGTTTGTAATTTCATAAGGTTCTTCAGAACAACCCGCAACTTCCATTTTAATTCACGCACTTTTTCAACAGCAAACATTGTTTGTTTATCTGTTGCCATGGTTTATCTGAATTCTCGACTAACATGATTACATTTTAATTTATTGGTTGCCACGGTTATACTTAATTCTCCACTAACCTGATTAATATGTGGTTATAATCTTCAAAGAACCATCAATTCATTTAAAGAGTATAGGTAAACGTCGACGCGAATGCAAAAAATAGTATATACACCTCTGGAGCGAAATGCCATTTTCCCTTGGTGCTTTGTAGCCCTCGGGCTCCGCTTCGCTTCGCCCTCTGGCTACAAATCGCACCGCGGGAAAAATAATGCATTTCTCTCCCTTGATGTATAATGTACTATTTATTATCTATGTAGTTTGTTGCATAATACATAATAACATTGAAATTGAATTATTTATTATTGATGTTAGTGATCTTCCTTTTATACGTCACGTTTGACTTCCGATCCTGCGAAATCCATTTTAAAGTTTTGTGCAATTTACAATTAATAACGTGGTTAAAAGTCGTTGATTTTTTATTCTCTATAACTCTTATATTGAACATTTTAGCCTAAAATTAGTAGTTTGCCACAAATTACAAAACACCACTTTCCACCCCTTTCAATCCCCGGGACTTCATCCGCTGAAAAACTCAGCTGTTTTAATTATTTTTCCCTAATTTCTAATTATTTCATCTGCATGAAAAACCCGGTTTGAACCGGTAACTAATTTTTTTTGTCAAAAAATGTTATATAGCCTGGACTATTGAATATAAGGTGCTTATTCAATGGTTATACTTCTTTAAGGTGCTTATTCAATGGTACCACCAATAATGAAAGTCCGCATTCTAACCTTAAATCTGAAATTAATTACTGAGATCATTAATGTGCCTAAAATTACCAGATCCTTATATGGAGCTAGGTAAAGTTTGATTATTTATTAGGTAAAGTTAATGGTCCTTAGAACAGTTCTTGTTGTTTTCTTATTAGATTAAACTACATTTTTAACTTACCGAAATTTCGCTGAAGTTTGAGTCCGACGAGGATTATTTAAAAAGAGATTTGTTATCAAATCGTAAGTTTTTTGTTGAGCGTTCGTTTTGTTCATGCATACAATTTTAGCCTTTTATTTTTACTCGATTTATTTTCTGGTAAAATTGGTATTGGATCCAGAATTACGAACTGACGTTGCGGGGAGTTCGATAAAAGCAGCACGTTTGAGGTTCTACGTTTTTCGTTTGGTGTTAGCGAGCGCCAGATTAATTTGGATTTGGAAAAACCTTCCGAAAATTTCAACTTCTGTGGGTGTTCTACCAACTCACCTATCAATACTCAGTGTGCGAAGAAAACCTACCTGTAATGAAAAACCAATCAAATCAGTCCCGTTGGTATGTAGTTTTGGAATTGGTTTCATTTCAGACAAGTTTGTAATTTCTTTTCAAAGCCTGGACAAGGACAACTTGTTGTATAGAAGATGGCAGCTATATTGATTTTTTCCTAATGTTCTAGAAGTAATTTAAATTTGGCTACTTGTCCATTGGTACCAATTGTATTCAAACCAAGTACTTGTTTTTATATACGACGCTATCTCTGTACGAATATGGCCATATTGATTTTATAGCGGTTGTTCTAATTTGTAATCTTCAGGAATCCCATTTCAATTTAATTATTTATTTACATGTACACTACGTGCCAACGAAAACCATTTTCAATTCTTAATAAAAACTGATTTTACTAAGGAAGTTAATTCTTTGTCGGATTGTTATTGTTTATTACAGATAAATTATCCTTGCTTACGACCATTGCGCACCGGCCTGAGTAGCTGGATATCAGAATTTTATCGTAAACGTTGTTTTTACGTTATTATAACCAATAATTCCAAAAATTAAGGGCTATAAGATTCCCTAAATCAAAGCATGAATCAGGGCATGAATTAATAGAAGCCTGATTTCTAAACAGCTTTTTTGGGTTTTATGATGTTATGATTGAAACGGTTTAGAAGGAAATTAAAACATCTATAAACACAAAAAAAAAAATATTTAGGGTCATTTTGTACGACAGCGCAATTTTTTTGGTATATGCTGCAAGTTTTTTCTCTTCATACATGATACAATGTAAGCGTTACAAACATAAAGATTTTTTTGTCCATAAAGTTTGACTTCTTGGACATCACTTTTTTTAATTAATCACACTTGCAAAATTACTTTCACGTTTCGCAAACCCAATCAGGGCTATAAATGTCAAGTGCCATATCCTTGAACCTTCTGAATTAAGGACCCGAGAAGGATGAACGCAATCTTACGAACCTATTTTGTGAAGATTAGGAGTCTTGTTTCAGACAAACAGTGTTAGCCGCATGAATTGGTACAGATGGGAAAATCGAGTAACTGTTTCCATAAAGAAATGATGGTGATTGTAGAAATCCCGATCGGGCGCCATGAACGTTAGGTACATGGTTTCAGGTGTGTGGTTGAATTTAGTGAAGTCGATCAAGATGAGATTAAAGGCGGTCAACAGGCCATGGCAGCCAAAATAGAAGCCGTGGAAACTAACATCGAAGCGGGCCAACAATAAGTAAGATGGGATGAGATCTACCTGATTTTCCACAATCCTCCCGCAAGGAAGCTTCAGAACCTTGTGAAAATAGACGTACGAGAAAAATTCGAGTTAAGAGTCACCAATACTCGATGAAAAATCACCGCCTACTTGAGACAATTTGAAACCGCTGCTGACACAAGTAAGTGGATAATGGAAGAGAAGGCATGTTTTGGGTGGACTCCAAACCATCAGCAAAAGGATTTCAATTAAATTGTATCACGGTTGGAAACCCGATACGGGGATAAACAAACTATAATTGCGCTAAAATCGGTATGTTACATCGTGTTAAAATAGGATATAGCGTACTGAACACGAAGCAGCTTCTACACCTTTTCCACTTTTATTCAAGAAACTATAAAGTTAATTTGAGAAAGTATCAATTGTATTTGAGAATAGTAAAATGTATTCCAGAAAACAACAAATGTAGTTTAGAATAGTGATTTGTATTTGAGAAGGCATCAAATGAATTTGAGAGTAGTAAATTGTATTCAAGAAATGGTAAAATGTATTTGAGAAGATATCAGTTGAAAATGAGAAAAACAAAATCACATGTATAACATAGCCTGAGGCTGCTGCTGCTGTTGCGGGACTGCATACAGTAGCGGGATTATAAAAATTTGATTCTTAATATTACATTCTGAATTCTGAAATACAATTAACGACTTCTTAAAATTAAATGATACTTTCTCAAATACAATTGACTATTCTCAACTACATTTGTTGTTTTCTCAAATCCAACTGACTATTCTCAACTACATTTGTTGTTTTCTCAAATCCAAGTAACAATTCTCAAATACAATTTACAACTTCTCGAATAAAAGTGGAAAAGGTGTAGTAGTTGAAGATGATTTTCAGAAACAAAATTGAACATATCCATTTTTTATGGCATGTGATGTCACCTACCCACAAAATATTTCATTTTTAGCGCTGAGGGGCAAATCTCAACACTCTAAGCAGCATGGTAAGACACTGAATCTTAAGTATCACTTTTTAGCTTTATTTAACTTTTAAAAGATTGAACATTTAAGATACAAATGCGCTTGTTGTGTGCTGTTTAAAAATATCTGAACGATTATGTGCTCCATATAGTAAGATGCTGTGCGTAGTGTAGTGAAAGTGAAAGTTAAAATCTGCTGGAAATGTACAAAAAAATGCCGCGGTTGGTTGTTTTGCATTATCAGTCTGTAACTTGTCGTAGGACAGCGAGGTATGAAAATGCAGTTTTCATCATCTAAAACATACAGACTTATTTCACATACGCAAAAAGTGCAACGCTACCCATAGAAACATTGCCAGAGACATTGGAACCAATTTTCCCACAGAAACACAAGTAGTACGTCCCGTGCGCATGATAACCATTAAAATATACTTCTGGTAGTTAACATCACACATATACCACGGTGACCCAAATATGTTTCGGTGAAGTTCTTCACTCTATAAAAGTTATACAAAGTTAATTGCATCCCACCATATGTTTTCATTTAGCTTCATTATATGTATCCACTTCTTTATTTTTGATTTAATTACCTTATTTATTAGTGTTTGTCCGGCCAAGGTAAATAAAAGCAGTTCGGTAATCGCGCAGGCTTCATATTGAACCAAGATGAGCGTTAATCCTAATTTTTTGTTCTAAAAATTGTCGTTGCCACATTCTAGTTTTCGTAAGTTGTTATAACACTCACATGAAGGATTGCAAATGGCACGAAAACATGGTAAAACATGGATACGCACATTTTCATGAATAGAAGTGGAAAGAAATAGCTATTCATGAGCTTACAACATTCCAGGATTTCTTGATGGTGTTTAATGTATTTAGTCAGAAGGTATAATACTCTTACTTTAAAATCCCCGGAACGTATTGTTGTCATAATGCGATCTTTGTTGATACGCTCTTCGGTATCCTCTGGCCATCTGTAACAAAAAATTCAATTTACCCCAAACCTGCACTTTTTGCCTCAAATTAACTAGTCCAGTTGGTAGAAATATCAGAGCTCCTTACAAATGATTAATTTTAAAAAGGTATAAAGAACAAATCCTTTTGCAGAAAATTGCTGTATTTAAGAAATCAGTATCAATCAAATTTAGCACTTAAAAGGTATTAAATCGTTATTAAACCACCTGTCCCAGTAACAACCTCTCAAGCAACCTCTTTATCATCTCAATAATAGAAGATAGTATTGCACTTCGGGTACTCTCAAAAGTAAGACTAAAGTAGTCATTTTAGTCCCTACGGAAAGTTCGAAATTGAAACTCCTTAAAACTGGTTAACGACTTGTTTCTTAGACACTAAACGTACACGTTCATGAAAAAAATCTTAGGAAATGGATTTCTATTTTACTATGAATTTACTTAACTTTACGTCACTCCACTTGAATTTTACATAATTCGTTGATCAAAACGTCCAATTCGATTCTATTATCCGTTTGTAGACAAGTGTTTAATTGTTTTTTCTACAATCGATATCCAATGTAGACATTTGCGCTCGTATTTGACAACGCAAACGTCACCTTTTTCGAGGAATGTCACTTTGTTGCTTGTATTTTAATAATCCAAAATATAAAAATATCGTACGTCCAATAGAAAAATTCCCAGACATTCACAAAAACCTGAACACAACAACTACTTTAATTATTATAAGTAATTGTTTTAAATTTTCCCCTGAATATAGCTTTGGAGTCACGAGTATTTAATACACCCGATATTTTATCAATTGTATTATTGAAGAGCCTTTTTTGATGTCGGCTTTGGAAATCAGATCAATTCTCCAACAAAAACAGATACACGAGTGAAGCATCAGTTGTGCAAAAATTCGAGTTCTCATAAAAATGAGACTGGCCTAAAAAAACACATGTCTCGCTGTCACAACGGACACTCGAATAGCCTATTTCACATCATAATTATTTAGCTTACTTTCGGTAATTTTATATAATTCGGCATAAATGTTTCACCGTTGTTGATAAAAATAAATGTGGCGTATGATATGTAACAGTGTTTTCTTAAATTTACGCGGTAAGCCTTCTATATCAGGTATATGTACCGTGGGCGTGGGTTCGAATCATAACATCAATAAAAAAATCCAGCAATCACCGATGACGTCAATGTGTCGGGTCCAGCATGAGTCCAGCATCCAAGATGATGTGTCAAGCATCCGAGATGGTAGGTTTAGCATTTATGATGTTGGTTCCATAAGCCAGCATCCAAGATGGTGGATCCTGCCGAAATGTGGTACCCCGGCCCAACTGCCGAAATATGACCGGCCACCCCGGGCCAATGGCCTAAATTTGACCTTACACGCCGGGACAATTGCCAAAATTTTGCACGAGCCAATTGCCGAAATTTGTCGAAACATTTTCCCACAGTCCCCAGAATTTTCCTACGCTAAAGTGTTCCTACACCTACTATCTTTGTTGGCCGATTTTGGAAAAATTTGTGAAACACTGATATACGAACAACAGAAGGTCTGTCCATGCTTAAAAACTATTGAGAAAGATACTTGATTTAATGACATGTTAATTTTTGTCTCACCGAAGCTGTTATCTTGCTCCTCGTGGTATATACGTTTCAAGATAGCCGCAATAGATTTTAATTTGCATATCCAGAATCCAGAATTTGAATCGATTTCTCATTTAGACAAATCTCTCTTGTGACAGCGACTCATTTTTATAAGAACTTTTTACCCAATTGATAATTCACTCGTATATCTGGTTTTATTGGAGAATTGATCTGATTTCCAAAGCCGGTATCAAAAAAGGCTCTTCAATTGATAAAATATCGGGTGAATTAAATACTCGTAACCTGAAAGAAATTAAAGCACAAACTGATACTCCAAAGCAAAATTCAGGCGAAAATTTAAAACAATTATAATAATTAAAGTATAGTTTCAGGTTTTTGCAATTTCTGGATATTATATTTTGGATCATTAAAATATAAGTTGACGAAAATTATGCTCTGCACGATGAAAAAAAAATAGAAAAAAGAGTGTTTTCGAAAATAGAGAGTCGTGAATATCTTGGAAACGGCTCAACTTTACGGGCCCATAGTAATTTTGCCACAAATTGCAAAATACCACTTTCTACCCCTTTCAACCATAGGGATTTTGCCTGTGGAAAAATTAAGCTGTTTCAATTATTTTTTCTGATTTCGAATCGTTTTACCTAAATAAAAAACCCCGTCTGGATCAGGAACTAGCTTTTTTGTTAGACACTATTATACATATAGCCTGGATTAAAAAAATCTGTACATCAAGCTAGCTACCGTTATAATTTATTACTCCAATGTGAATACATGTTCCTAAAGATATTAACTGTAGGATAAACTTAACAGTATAAGGTCGCATCCGAGACCGTTTCATATTCCAATGAAATCTGACATTCAAATTATTCTTAAAATCTGGGATTCGAAAACTTTTCTAAAGTCGGAGTTCGTATTCGAATCACTGCACTGAGGATTCAAACCCTTTAATAAAACAAAAATAAAAAAAATTAAATAAAATTAACAAAAATAAGACGAGATGAATGTATTTGAAGTTAATAAAACTTGTAACGTACGCACAAACCCCTTCCTACCACAACCCACATTACACGGCACGGCGTCATCCCTTAAATCGCACGAAGGACCACCTCAAACACGCGCCAAAACGTAACTCGCGACGCGCACCGCAAAGGTGGCGCTACGAGAGATACTCATCTGTCGTACTCTACGGTAGGGGTTTAAGAATCCACCCACGCACCAGAACCATCAATCAACACCAGTGCTCTGCATCAAGCGCAAGCTAGAACTTAGTCAATAGATAGTTGAAATCTGTGGTTTTGTGTGATGTTTATTTTGGGTTATTTAGTGGTTATGAAAATATTTATTAAATATAAGTACACAATGGAAAACTTCATCAAACTTAATAAAACTCATTTTAGATTTAGAAAAATTCACGGCTTGCATTGAATGTGCAAATGGAGGTGTTCAAGTCAATTTGCACCCGAAAATGAGAGCAGGGAATTTTAAGTTCATATAAGCCAGACTTGAAGTTCATAAAACTCAAAATTTCGGAAAAGTGGCCGGTATACGTGGGAGGTGCAAATCGAAGTATTTCTAAACTTTTAAACTGGTTCTGTCGATTTGCCAAGCAAATAGGAATTTGGGTGACAGAAACCTTATGGTAAAGAACTAGAGAATGTAACCTTCTAGGCTGAGACATATTAAGCCCTCTCACCTCTTTCATCTTATGTGAAATATGATCTCTGTGTCCGATGCAATAAATAAATCTCAAACAAGAATTTTGCACTCTTTGTATTCGGATGGAAATAACAGTGTCAATACATGTAAATGATACAAAACATCACAATAGTTAAAATGTGACAAAACAAGTGTCCCCGTTAGTTACTTTGATTTAGTAGATAGAAGATGTCTATTCGGATATAAACGCTTTAAAGCAGAATCTGATTGGAGCAAACCATTACTTATATGACTAACCGAGGCCTACGACACTCATATAAGTTCATATAAGTATCGCAGGCCTCGGACTAACCGGTACTAAATTGTACTTTAATCCTGATAGAATCTAAATTCTAAATTCTACTTTTTCTCGACCAAAAAGCAGCACAGTGGACTTTTTTGCATTGATAAATAAATGATGGTTTGTAGCAATTTGAACCAGAAGGTTATTGGTGATATTTACATCGTTTTAGGACCCTGCAAATATTGTTCGAGTTAATGACATATAAAATAAGGGGCTCCAAATTGGAGCCTTGTGGCATTTCAATATGCACATTAAGTACGTAAGGAAGACATACCGTTATCTATTAGTACACATTGCTGCTTGTTTTCAAAATAAAAATTAATTACTTAAACCGAAGACACGTCGAAGCCATAATCATTAAGTATTGGTACCAGAAGCTTGTGACTGATGGTATCAAATGCCTTTGAAAAATCTAACAATAGCAAAACTGTGAGATACTCTGCATCTGTAGCTTTAATTATATCGTCTGTAATACTCAGTAATGCAGCAGTACAGTACAACTATAATTTTTTCCAAATGGAAAGGTGAAAGGAGAATATGCTTTGCAAGACGTTCATTTATTTGATCTTTCATAACCTTCTCCAAGATTTTTGTCATAGTTGAAAGTATACTAATCGGTCTCTAGTCTTTGTAACACGAAGGATTGTTAATCTTTGGGATAGGTTTAACATGAGCCAGTTTCCATTGTGAAGGAAACCGGTTACGAATATGACACTTGACTGCGGCGACTGGACCGGCGGCGAAATGGTGGCGTTATTTGAAAGGCGGTGAGATCTTTAACTTGAGCAAAAAAAGCATACCTTTTTGTAAAGTTCGAAATGGCGCCAAGCATAGTTGAGAATCTTTTTTTAGTTGCGGGGATTAGATTAACGTATGAGTCTCAAAGACACTTTTTCATTACGAGATCGTAAACCCTCAAATCGGGTTTTACGAAAAAAAAAACATTAGAAACATAACATCCCTATGAGTCAAATTCTTACCTTGCATCATGCATCATTTCTCTGAATTGTAGTACTTTCTCCTTATTTACACCGTGCTGTAGCAAAGCGTCGTATAGGCAATTGCTTATGTCGGCACCTACACACAACCTTTTAGTATAGGTAAGTAGTGAGAATTTTAATCATACCGAACACCAACAATTGTTGGCTAGTAATTAACACTGTGGCTATGAATAGAGTATCTGAAGCTGAAGATATGTGTCCCACGATCACTTGCCCCATAGCTTGAAGTGTGTATATTCCAATATAATGACGCGTATTGTTTTTAGTATCTACTCCAGGGTATACTCCAGGTAATGGTAACATTCTGGAAAATTAACACGAAATAATGTTAGTTTCTTTAAAACTTCATTTCCATTCTCATCTCGGTACGTTTCGTCTCTAAGACAGTGGTGGAAAATTTACGGCTGCGACCGTACAATGCAAAAATCCCAGCATCAGTTTCACACTTCCCAAGAAATATAAAAAAGGATCGAAGTATAAATTCTACGGTATGTTTTATGAATTTGTTTCATTATTAGTCGTTTATGATCTTATGTATAAGGTAAACTATGATGATGAACTAAAGATTTAATATTTTCTATGGCGATAGATTTCGCCCCATCCCATCATCAGGCCTAGCGTCAATTACAAAATTTGAAACTAATAGATAAATAACATGTTGGTCTAAGTTAAAATGGGTTTTATTTTTAGACTTGGAATTTGGACTGAAGAATTTTTTAATGAAGTTGAACCCCTACATTCCCACCACGTTTCAACTTTACTAAAAAATTTTTCACGGATTCCAATAGTGTGTAAATTGCAATAGGTACAACCCATTTTAACTTAGACCAACATGTTATTTATGTTTTAGTTTCAAATTTAATAATTGACGCTAGGCTCGATGATGGGTTCATAACCCGAAATCGACCGCAATAAAAAATATTAAGTCTTTAGTTCACCATCAAACGTACTTTCAATAATTTCAATAATTTCTGTATGCACATGAAAATCGTCATACTTCACCTTCCCTTTATTAAAATCGGAATAGCAGTCAAGCTCGTCGCACCCACCGTAACCAATAACAGAAACGCTTGTGAGATATTTTTCGTACGTTGATTTTCCTCCCTCATTCCAATTTCAACAATATCGGTGTTTGCCCTGTATTTAAACACTCTGTTCAGATGCTCTACTAAATTTCTTCCATTTTGTCCATTTCGTATGAAAAAGTGTATTGTTAAAATATTGCAGAAATAAATACCTGGAAATTTGGGTGGAGTTACATACAAGTTTCTACGTTCTTTCAGCGTAGAGTTGAAGTATTTTATACATTACCGGCATTCATAATGGTAAGTGAATAATCTGTTATCTTTAAATTTTCGGCTAAGTAGAGTTCGTAGAGAAATGGTAACAATATCATGTAGAGTACACAGAGGTAGGCATATTTGCCAAAATTACTGAATAATTTAATCCATGTACTACTAGTATTCGGCGGAATTAATGAACATAACACTGCGTACTGTAGGTTAAATTCGAGCAGTTTCTGCTCGCCCATTGTTAGATGACCAATTATAAAGAAGTCTACCTTCAAGCAGCACTACCTAGCTTCTGAAAGGTGCACATCGTGGTTTTCGTTAATATGTCTTTCAACATGACAACCTTGACCATATAATTGCTTTTCTACTTCAATAGTTAAACACTAAAGAACAATGAATAGAAATGTAATTCTGGCAAAGTTTTGTTATTAGCTTTCAGATGCACTTCAACTACGATAAACGCGATCATTATCTTTGAAAAAATTTAATTGCTGGTTCCAATCCTTACTTCTACCAACTTGTATAAATTCAGTTCAGTTTGATGGAATTAGAAATGGAGTGGGCAAACCTCTTGTCCCTTATGAATCTCATTTTTAGTCCATCACTGGAAATTCATTTTAGTGGTATCGATTGTACCTTTATATTATATCTTCTAATTTTGTCATTCTTATGCAGAGTATTACCAATATTTAATAACGCGTTGTGTATAAAGGGTCATCAGTTTTTGCGAATGTGGGAAATAGAGATATCTGAAACTACCGGACTAGTTGTTAGGTATAGATTAAAAAAAAAGACCTACTGGTATATGATTTACCTTTTATGCTTTTCTAAATTTTTTTAACTATTATAGAATAGAACAAATTGTAGTGGTTTAACTTTAATCATTGAGTAAATAATATGACTTATCTATTCAATGCTATAGATTAACCACATTTCTCCCATCCAGGCTCCCATCACCATTTATGAATCATGACACAAACATTTGTTTCGGTTTATTCTCATATAATTTATAACCGTCTATGACTTTTTTAAGTTTTCCACCATATACCATTTGATGCAGCTCGGCTTTCTTCATAAGTAAATAAATTCTTTTTTCTACAACTGTCAAAAAAACCTGTCATTTTCTGACGGATTTCGAAACGCAAAATACTAGATTTTTAAACGGTTAATTAATAAGTAAGGTTGCTATTGACAACGTGCGCGAAATCGTCAACAGTGAAAAAAAGTATTTCGCGCACGTGACAAAGTTGAACTTAAACAGCAAATTTAATTAACAATCGGTTCAGTTGTAGAAAAAATATTGTATATAACGCTAGCGCGAAGTTATTTCGCGCATTTGACTGATATTTTGACTCGGCTTCGCCTCGTCAAAATACCTTCAGTCTCAATGCGCGAAATTGAACTTCGCGCTCTTGTTATATAAATAACTATTTTATTATACCTGAATCACAATCTCCGTTTTAAACACTCAAATGCGTGCGAAAAAGGGCCTTTAAAACACACGTGCTTTAAAGTTGCTAAGTAACGATACTTCAAGTATGACTTTTGAAACTGTCATCTGGGGCTGAAATAAAAAATCCTCTTAGGTCGCTTTCTGTAAATGCAGAACATTTCTTTGGCTTTTGTACCTATCCTTTGGCTGAAGCTTTCACAAACGCGCGTAATTTAGGGTATGCTTCCAAATCTGTTCCACTTTTGAATCGCAGTATTGCTTTGAAGTTTTGAATGAATGCACCAAAATATAGAAGATTTAAATACCTTTGACATTTCCTTCATATATGCCAGCATTATCGATGCATTTAAGACTGTATTCGTAAGTAACTTCCTGTTCATCCATGGAAACAACTTTTCATATTCCTTATAATAGGCCTTACTGGAGTTGGATTTTACACCTACCAACGTTTGTTTAGATTTTACAACAACCGATTTAATGGACGGTGTATTATTTTTTTCAACGGAAATCGTTTAATTCACAAAGACGATGATTTTTATAAGCAAACATCAAGTGACATTTCCATGGCAATCGTGAAATTACGAACACCCAGCCCACTTAATTAGACATGTATTCGAGTATAACGTCAATATGACTTCATTGTATTTCCTATTTCTAAATTATACTGCAGGTATAATAAAAAATACTGTAAGATACACGTGTATAATTGGTCTTTAAAGCACTTGCAACGTTAAAGGCACTCCGCTTTGCGTCGTGCCCTTAAATTCGTTGCGCGTGCTTTAAAGACTTGATTATACACTTGTATCTTAATATACTATTATTTTTTAATACTATTACTTTTAAACAATTTCTCTACTAAACCAATAATTCCAGAGCCATAAGATTCCCTAAATGAAAACATAAATTAACCGTCTGTGTGGCTCAGTGGTAGAAAGTTGGGCTACACAGTCGGGAGGTCGGATGTTCGAAGCTGAGTTGAGGTGAATTTTTCATCTGTGGCAGAGATGGGAATTTTCTTAGATCAGTTTCGAGCATTCTGCCGGATACTCCTAATTAGGTTTTCCTGCAGTTTTCCTAATTCGTAAAGTAAATGCCGGAAGAGTATAGAACAACTTAAGACCTTCTGCAGGAGCACCTCTAAAAAGAATTATGCGGGTCACTCTGTAATTAGGCTAAAGTCTGTTGAAGGTCTATAACAAGAGAGGGACAATAAATAAATACATAAATTAATGGAAGCCAGATTTCTAAACAGCTTTTTTTTGGCTTTATGATGTTGTATTGAAACGGTTTAGAAGAAAATTAAAACACAAATATACACAAAATAAATATTTACCGTCATTTTGTACGACAGCGCAATTTTTTTGTATAAATAGCAAGTTTTTCTCTTCATACATGATACAACATAATTGTTACAAGCACAAAGATTTTAACATCTTTTTGTCCAAGTCAACGAGGTCATTGTAAATGCACAAAATTCACTTCTTGGACATCACATTTTTTAATTAATCACACTTGCTTAATTACTTGGCAACTGTCATTTCTAGTGTCAATTTTGGTGGTGCGTGACAAAGGTGTATTTGATATTGATAAAAGAGCAGCCAAAGTAGGTAAAGAATTGATACCACCGAAATCTAAAAAACTATATGAGCAGCAATACGATGCGTTTAAGAAATAGTGCCTCATACAAAATGTGGAACAACCTACTGAAATTGCCTTATTGGTAATTTTTTCCAATGCCGACACGTTTTTAATGAATTTAATCCCTAATTTTTGTGCATTAATAGGTAATTTTAATCCCTAGGGATTAAAAAAATTTTAATCCCTCATTTTTGATTTCTGGTAAAACATACAGAAAGTACCTATTCATTTTCTTTATTTTCAGAACAGGTAATATGAAAAGCACAACTTATAAAGGGCCTTAGTGTACATCCAGCTCTTCCCATATAATGCCAAATAAGTGAATTCTTCTCCGCCTCAACAATGGTAAAAACTCTTGACTTTTAGTTTTTGTATCTGGAATTCTAACTACCAGCATCAGTTCTCCATCTTCTATGTAGTCTACGTTCATTTTTAAAAATTCTTCTGATCTGCAAGCTGCAACTTCCTCCAATAGGTATCCATAATTGTCACAATCTACAACCACAAACATTGGAAGCATGAGCATGCAATATTTTACACAAACTAACCTTTATCAGCAAGTGACATCTTAGGGGATAAAGGAAGCGCCTTTATATGCTTCGTCACTTTCGTCTTCAATATTTTTAGAAGGGTTTATAGCAGGGATTATAGGCATGATTTTACCAAAATAAAAAATTCCTAATTTCTGTTGACAGTTACAAACAAGCGAGCGTAACTATAACATCTTAAAAAGCCTACCTTACTTTTTCATATAACTCTCGCCAGGAAAGATTGCCGGTCACAGCACACCTTGTGTCGATTTACAATCTTTGTTTTTATTAAGATGCAAGCGACTTCTGGAATAGGATCGTGCTAATGTTGAACAAAAAGTCTTTTCGTTCAACATTGACACGATACTATCCCGGCAGTCCCTAGCACCTTACGAAAAACAGAGATTGTAGATCGGGATCAAGTGTTCTGTGACCGGTAATCTTTCATGGCGAGAGTTATAGTTTTTATAGCATATTAATTTTCAAAGGATTCAGATCGGTCGGTATTGGAAAAAATAGTATAAGTAACACTGGATTAAACTAGTTTTTGTTCAAAAACTCTTTTTAATCCCTTGTTACTTAATATACTAATTATCCTTCCGGGATTTTCGTCCAAATTTAATCCCGGCGGGACAAAAAATGACACTTCAATACTTGTCATAATGGAGTGAAGTGTGTCACTTTAGTCTCGGAAGTACGAAAATAAACTTATGTCACATGGTTTCAGGTGTGCGGTTGAATTTAGTGAAGTCGATCAAGATGATATGAAAGCCGGTCAACAGGCCATGGCAGCCAAAATAGAAGTAAGATGAGATGAGATCTACTTGCTGTTCCACAATCCTCCCACAAGGAAGCCTCAAAACCCTCTGAAAATAAGAGTACGAGTTAGAAGTCACCAATATTCGATGAAAAATCACCGCGGTCCGCCTACTTGAGACAATTTGAAACCGCTGCTGATACAAGTAAGTGGATAATGGAAGAGAAGGCAGCGTTTCTGTTAGATGCGCTACGTGGGGATCCTTTGGATGTTTTGGGTGGACTCCAAAACATCAACAAAAGGATTTCAAACAAATTGTATCACAGTTGGAAACCCGATATGGGGATAAACAAACGAATTGCGCTAAAATCGGTATGTTACATCGTGTTAAAATAGAATATAGCGTACTGAACACGAAGCAGCTTCTGGTAGTTGAAGATGATTTTCAGAAACAAAATTGAACATATCCATTTTTTATGGCATGTGATGTCACCTACCCACAAAATATTTCTTTTTTAGCGCTGGGGGGCAAATCTCAACACTCTAAGCAGCACGGTAAGACACTGAATCTTAAATATCACTTTTCAGATTTATTTAACTTTTAAAAGATTGAACATTTAAGATACAAATGCGCTTGTTGTGTGCTGTTTAAAAATATCTGAACGATTATGTGCTCCATATAGTAAGATGCTGTGCGTAGTGTAGTGAAAGTGAAAGTTAAAATCTGGTGGAAATGTACAACAAAGCGCCGCGGTTGGATGGCTTGCATTATCAGTCTGTAACTTGTCGTAGGACAGCGAGGTATGAAAATGCAGTTTTCATCATCTAAAACATACAGACATATTTCACATACGCAAAAAGTGCAACGCTACCCATAGAAACAGTGCCAGAGACATTGGAACCAATTTTCCCACAGAAACACAAGTAGTACGTCCCGTGCGCATGATTACCATTAAAATATACTTCTGGTAGTTAACATCACACATATACCACGGTGACTCAAATATGTTTCGGTGAAGTTCTTCACTCTGTAACAATTTTACAAAGTTAATTGTATCCCACCATCTGTTTTCATTTAGCTTCATTATATGTATCCACTTCTTTATTTCTGATTTAATTACCTTATTTATTAGTGTTTGTCCGGCCAGGGCAAATACAAGCAGTTCGGTAATCGCGCATGTTTCATATTGAGCCAAGATAAGCGTTAATCCTAATTGTTTGCTCTAAAATTGTCGTTGCCACATTCTAGTTTCAAAAGTTGTTAAAACACTTACATGAAGCATTGAAAATGGCATGAAAACATGGTAAAACATGGATAGGCACATTTTCATGAATAGGAGTGGCAAGAAATAGCCATCCATGACCTTACAAAATTCCAGGATTTCTTGATGGTGTTTAATGTATTTAGTCAGAAGGTGTAATACTCTTACTTTAAAATCCTCGGAACGTATTGTTGTCATAATGCGATCTTTGTTGATACGCTCTTCGGTATCCTCCGACCATCTGTAACAAAAAATTCAATTTACCCCTGACACTTCTAGTTAACTAGTGCAGTTTGTATAAATATCAGACCTCTGAATTAGTGATACCTTACAAATGATTAATTTTAAAAATGTGTAAAGAACAAATCCTTTTGCGGAAAATTGCTGTATTTAAGAGATCAGTAACTATCTTTCAATCAAATTTATCACTTAAAAAGTATTAAATCGTCAATAAACCTGTCCCCAGTAACAACTTCTTCACCATGTCAATAACAGAAGATAGTATTGCACTTCGCGTACTCTCAAAAGTAAGGCTACCCCACGGAAAGTTTAAAATTGAAACGCCTTAAAACTGGTATCAACTTGTTTCTTAGACACTACAACTACACTTTCATGTAAAAATTTCTTAGGATATGGATTTACTATTTTCAAAGATCATACTACACGATCTTTGCTATTTTTACTATGCATTTATTTAATTTCACTTTACTCCACATGAATTTTATATACTCATTTTATCAAAACATCAAATTTGATTTTAATACCTGTTTTTGGACACGCATTTCATTATTTTTTTTTTAAAGTACTCGATACGTCGAGCTACTTAATAATAATAATGGCATTTTTGTGGGACGAATGGAGGATTTATTAGCAAACTCATTTTATAAATATGACATTGGACCGACGGCGAAATGGCGGTAGTATTTCGAGGATGGCGAGCATATAGTTAAGAATCTTTTTATGGTTGAGGGTATTAGATTAACGTATGAGTCTCAAAGATACTTTTTCATTACGAGATCGTAAACCCTCAAATCGTGTTTCACGGAAAAAAACGTTAGAAACAGAACATCCGTATGGGTCAAATTCTTACCTTGCATCATGCATCATTTCTCTGAATTGTAGTACTTTCTCCTTATTTACACCGTGCTGTAGCAAAGCGTCGTATAGGCAATTGCATATGTCGGCACCTACACACAACCTTTAGTATAGGTAAGTAGTGAGAATTTTAATCATACCGAACACCAACAATTGTTGGCTAGTCATTAACACCGTGGTTATGAATAGAGTATCCGAAGCTGAAGTTATTTGTCCCACGATCATTTGCCCCATAGCTTGAAGTGTGTATATTCCAATATAATGAAGCGTATTGTTTTTAGTATCTACTCCAGGGTATACTCCAGGTAATGGTAACATTCTGGAAAATTAACACGAAATAATGTTAGTTTCTTCAAAATTTCATTTCCACTCTCATCACGGTACGTTCTGCCTCTAAGACACTGGTGGAAATTGTGCAGGTGCGGCCGTACAATGCAAAAATCCCACTGGTTTCGTTCCCAAGAAATTTAATAATGTATGGAAGTATAAATTCTATCCAAGGTATGTTTTATGAATTCGTCCATTATTAATTTATTATTATTATTACATGGATAAGGTGAACTATGACGTTTGATTGCGAACGAAAGTTTTAGTATTTTCTATGGCGATCGATTTCGAGTTTTGATCCCATCATCGGGTCCTAGCGTCAATTATAAAATTTTACAATGCAAGATAAACAACATGTTGGTCTAAGTTAAAATGGGTGTTAATGGTATAGCCAATTTTATCACGTGGAATCTGTGAAGAATGCAATTTATACTGATAATAAGAGGATAGGTTCACAGTGTATCATTTTCTTATCCAAAGTTTAACTTTTAGTACACCACTACAGTAGTCTATAAATCTCTCGCCACTGATATCGTTATTACCGCAATTTTAAGTTCTTCTTTCTCTGTTTAATTTATTATATAGTGCATTTGGAATTAATATTAACTTGGTTTAAAGTGATGGTAAGCTCAACACAAAAATAATTGTTTAATGAAGTACCTTATCTGCGATTCATCTGCTCCTATTTACTCGTTTTAGCTTATTATTTCCTGGAACATATTATACAAATTGTTATTTTTTGTCTATTTTTGTGTATATACAATGGTGAACGTGGAGATAAAGTAACTATCAATCTATTTTTTAATAAAGTTGAAACCCTACACTAACACCACGTTTCAAGTTTATTAAAAAAAATCTTCACGGATTCCGCGTGAGAAAATTGTCATAAAACCCATTTTAACTGAGACCAACATGTAAATTATTTTCAAATTTAAAAATTGACGCTAGGCCCGATGATGGGATCAAAACCCGAAATCCATCGCCATAAAAAATATTAAACCTTTAGTTCGCCATCAAACGTCATAGTTTACTTTATCCGTCTACCAAAGGTACTTCTGATAATTTCTGTATGCACGTAAAAATCCCCATATTTACCTTCCCTTCATTAAAATCGGAATAGCAGTCATGCTCAACACACCAACCGTAAGCAATGACAAAAACGCTTGTGTGATATTTTTCGTACGTTGATTTTCCTCCCTCATCCCAATTTGAACGATGTCGCTGTTTGTCCTGTATTTAAACGCTTTGTTCAGATGCTCTACTAAATTTCTTCCATTTCGTCCATTTCGTATGAAAAAGTGTAGTGTTGAAATAGAGCAGATATAACAACCTGAAAATTTGGGTGGAGTTACTTACTAGTTTCTATGTTCTTATACACCGTGGAAAGTATTTTATAATACATTACCCGCATTCATAATGGTAAGTGAATAGTCTGTTATCTTTAAATTTTCGGCTAAGTAGAGTTCGTAGAGAAATGGTAACAATACCATGTAGAGTACACAGAGGTAGGCATATTTGCCAAAATTACTGAATAATTTAATCCATGTATTACTAGTATTCGGCGGGATTAATGAACATAACACTGCGTACTGTAGGTTAAATTCTAGCAGTTTCTGCTCGCCCATTATTAGACGACAAATTGTAAAGAAGTCTACCTTCAAGCAGCACTACCTCGCTTCTGAAAGGTGCACACCGTAGTTTTCGTTAATATATATATTTCAACATGATAACCTTGACCATATAATTACTTTTCTACTTCAATAGCTAAACACCAAAGAAGAATTAAAAGAAACTTAATTCTGGTAAAGTTTCGTTATTAACTTTCAGATACACGTCAGCTACGATAAACGCGATCAATATCTTCGAAAAAAATTAATTGCTGGTTCCAATCTTTACTTCTTCCAACTTCTACAAATGAGTTCATTTTGATGGAATTAGAAATGGAGTGGGCAAACCTCTTGTCCCTTATGAATTATTTCTAATTTTTAGCCCATCACTCGAAATTCATTTTAGTGGTATTGTATCTTTATATTATATCTTCTAATTTTGCCTTTATTTATTTATTGTCAATATTTGATAACGCCTTGTGTATAAAGGTCAGTTTTTTGCCAGGGACTTCTCAATCAAAAATTCAAAGGGCTGTAACTTTTGAACTAGTAACCCAATCTTCGAACTGTTTGAAATTATGGATTCTACGGAGCACATTCTATAAGAAAATTTTTTTTTCCCGGTCCCGGTCGATCTGAGACAATTTCTTTTTCGAGGCTCAAAAAAAGGCAGTGTATAATCTTCCTTTTTTTTTTACCAAAAATCGACTGCACCAAAATTTCTCAGGAAAACACTTTTTCTTATTAATTTTGGGGCGTAGAATCCAAAACAATTCGTACTTCTTCGATTAGACTTCTCAATCAAAAGTTATAGACTAGAAACCAATTTCGAAAGAAAATTCAAATGGCTGTAACTTTTCAACTAGTAGCCCAATCTTCGAACTGTTTGAAATTATGGATTCTACGGAGCACATTCTATAAGAAAATTTTTTTTCCCCGGTCCCGGTCGATCTGAGACAATTTCTTTTTCGAGGCTCAAAAAAAGGCAGTGTATAATCTTCCTTTTTTTTACCAAAAATCGACTGCACCAAAATTTCTCAGGAAAACACTTTTTCTTATTAATTTTGGGGCGTAGAATCCAAAACAATTCGTACTTCTTCGATTAGACTTCTCAATCAAAAGTTATAGACTAGAAACCAATTTCGAAAGAAAATTCAAATGGCTGTAACTTTTCAACTAGTAGCCCAATCTTCGAACTGTTTGAAATTATGGATTCTACAGGGCACATTCTATAAGAAAATTTTTTTTCCCGGTCTATCTGAGACAATTTCTTTTTCGGGGCTCAAAAAAAGGCAGTGTATAACCTTCCTTTTTTTACCAATAATCGACTACACCAAAATTTCTCGGGAAAATACTCGCGTCCCTTCAGTCTATCTTTAGCCACCCCGTATATTCTATTCTGTGAGACTCTAAACTAAAGGTACTAACGAGAGTAAGAAAGTGTAAAAAACAGGAAAAAAAGCCGCTTAAATTTGGTAAGAAAGGTTTCCTTTTTTGTCAAACATGCCTATTAAACCGAAATTTGAGAGTTTAAATATTGTAGGTAATTTATGGCTATATTTTCTTTATATGTCTCCGGTTGACAAGTTTATATTTCCTTTCCCAAGGGTCAATTTGTTCCACCCTGACCCCGCTTCGAAGTAGGTATATTCAATGTAGCTCCCAGTGACTTGAGCCGCTCTATTCTATCTTTTCTATCGCTCTATTTCTATCTTAATTTAGCCTTAATTCTAAGTAAGTAAGTAAGTAAGCAAGCACTTATCTTAACTTTACGCCCTTTTTGTTCTGTTGGTTGGAGGTTCCTGCCCTGTCTTCTCACGATTTAATTAGTCCCGCGCGTTATGCATCTTGAGATTAAACTTAATACTTTAAAAATTCGTAAAATCTCAACCACTGAACCGATTTCGATCAAATAAGCACTAAACAATTACAAATATTTGTGCGCTCCCGGCCACACAGGACAAACATTTTTAAACCTATACAGTCACAAAAGACACTAAAATCAGCCGGAGCTGGCTCAAAACACGTCCGTTCGCAATGAAAGACGAACTTCTCCTCCGCAGCGTATAACCTTCCTTTTTTACCAAAATTCGACTACACCAAAATTTCTCGGGAAAACACTTTTTCTTATTAATTTGGGTGCGTAGAATCCAAATCAATTCTTACTTTTTCGATCCAACCTCTCAATCAAAGGTTATAGACTAGAAACCAATTTCGAAAGAAAATTCAAAGGGCTGTAACTTTTGAACTAGTAGCCCAATCTTCGAACCGTTTGAAATTATGGATTCTACAGGGCACATTCTATCGGAAAATATTTTCCCGGTCGATCTGAGACAATTTTTTTTCGGAGATCTAAAATAGGCAGTGTATAACCTTCCTTTTTTACCAAAAATCGTCTACACCAAAATTTCTCGGGAAAACACTTTTCTTATTAATTTTGGGGCGTAGAATTCAAAACAATTCGTACTTTTGCGATTAGACTTCTCCAGGGTTTTTGCGAATGTTGAGAATGGAGGTATCTGAAACTAGCGGACCAGTTGTTAGGTATAGATTAAAAAAGGAGGAGTACCTGATTTATCTTTCTTGTTTTTCTGAAATTTGTTAACTATACATAATGGAATAGAATAAATTGGAGCGGTTGCCAAGATATTTTTTCGAAATCACGTGAAAATAATGCAGAAACTTTCGCATATAAAATCCCGAACGATCAAAACGACCATGACAACACAAAACATCAAAATCGATATTTGTTTCAAGGTTTCAACATAATTTGAATGTGGTCCTTCGTACCATACTTCTCATGAAAAACTTAGCAACCACAAATTTTGAGTTACCGCGCCAGAATTTAATCGATAGCCTCTAACTAAAGGAAAATGGAATAGTCCTGTCGATATTCACTTCTTATCTGGAAAGTATTCCAAAGTTAATAAACCACGAATAATTATTATATTTTATTATTTATATCCTGGAAGCTACACTCACTAACCCACTAAAGCAGGTAATGATAGGTAACGTTTGCCTGATTATACCCCACACCGGCGTTATAAAGGCGATAGTCGATAAGACTGGTATGGAACTAAAATTGCCTATGAAGTTCATTAAAGCCGGTCACGTAAAACCGTTGCTGCAGCACTTACCAAAACCGACATCAGCCAGATACCAGACTCGATTGACATAAACTACGACGTAGAAGAATTTAGAATATTTTTATCTATGGAAGCTACCATGAAATTCTTCGTGTGCAAAAATACCGGCCACCTAGCAGAAAAATGCCCAACAGAAACAAAAACTTATCTTAAGCTAAGAAGGAAATCGAATCAAAGATTTCAACTACCGAACGATCAACTAACAAGAAAAAAAATGCAGCACGCATAGTAAGCCTATGGCGCCAACACAAAGGACAGAAAAATAAACTGCTAGGACCAAACTTCGAGTACGGCCAAAGGTCTACATAAGGAAAAAATGTACCCGCCTGATAATATAAATTCTATGCTCTGTTAAACCCAAACTAGGTAGAGAGGTGGGCGGCCGAGCTACCGGGCGTCTCGAATTAAACAAAATTCATTCATTCATATATATATATTCGGCAAAAAATCCTTAAATATATATTGTATTTTATTGTTCAGTTGTTCGCCGATGATGACAACCTTTTTGTTGAAACGCGTTCGATATTTTAACTTATTATTATGGTTTGTTGTAAATTAATTACTATACACCCTCCTGTTCATTTGTGAAAGTTGGATTGGAAGGTTTTGCTTGCTGTAGATGGATTAATTTTCTAGCTAGATAACTTTATAGTTAAAATTATACCTATCTGATTTGCACAGAAAGTTACAGTCTGTGGTATACAATATAATCCATATCTGCTACTGCGATCACTAAACATGTGGTACTTGAGCGCATATATAAAAACGAAATTCACTTTTACATGGCATCTCTCCCATGTAAATTCTTAATTTGAACTTACCCAATTTTCTATGCCGCTGCCTTTACACAATCGTACAATAAAACCTGAATTTATATTGGATTGGTGAAGTAAAAGTAATGTACTAGGTAAGGTACTACCACAGATTAAAATACTCTTTGTCTGTGGTACTACGTTGCGATTTGTTCATTGAGCCAATGAAAATCGAATGAACTTCTTTTCAATAAAAAAAGATAGTTGCACATAGAACAAACACGTTAGTTAACATTTCAAGTAAGTGCAACCAATTTGTAGCTTTGTAGCGATTAATTATTGTTATTGAAGAATCAGATTAGTTTAACTGATAAAATTTGTAATAAAGGAATAATAGTTAAAAGTCAGGAAAATGACACATTACTGGCGAGGAAATATTGAAGTACTAGGTCCCTTTGGGGCGAGTCAAGTGTCATTTTACTAACGAGTTTTGTTTACCCGAAATCGTATTTTAATATAAAATTTCAATTTTTATATAGAACTTTTGATTAATGTCAATTTATCAGGATTTAGTTTGTTTTTCATGTAATTAGTTTAAAATAAAAAGTATATGCGAAATTTCACTCAAGATGTGTGTTAATTCGGACCCTTTATTAATAAGAAGTTTCATATTCAAAACACGATCCATTTTATTGGATCCTCGCCCAAAGTTCATTTTGAGTGTTGGTCAAAATTTTGTTAAAGTTCGTTTGGAACCTGAGGATTTTGTGCATGGCTACTGTCTGTTGGGAGTTAAGAAAACAATTGAGATCAGAATGGAATCATTATTCTGTACCGGGGTGAGGATCTGTGCAGGAAAAGGAAGTTAAAATTGAAGAGCTACCTAGCAGTGTTTTGTGCTTGATTTCAGTGTGTGTTTTATCGAAAATTACATTGTCACATTTCAAATCATCTATGAGATCGTTTTTTTAAAAGCTTATTACCTAACTATGGAGGAAACGGTACACAGTTATAAACAAATTCTATTACACGTATTGTAGCGAATATTCCAAAAATCCCGAAAGACCTTGAGGCGCCTTCATGGATTAGTCATCGGCCATAAAGAACGAAGGCGGATATGTGA